TGTGGCACCTTCTGACTGGAGGCCTTTGCCCTTGTTCCTCCTCCTGGAAAGCTCCTCTGCCTCACCCCCCACCCCGCCAGGCTCCCCGAGTGGATACCACGTCCCCTGGGAGCCTGCCTGCCCGTCACCGAGCACAGCCCCGTCCAAATGCGGCTCTGCCCTTCCTCACCTGCACGGTGCTGAGCTCCTTCCCCACCAGCCAGGAGCTCCCCGAGGGCGGTGCTGGCTGTCTGGCTGTCTGTCTGTCTGTCTGTCTGTCTGTCTGTCTTATCACCCTGTGTCCCCTAGAACAAAGCCTGTGCCCCAAGGGTGCTCAGGAGGGCTGCGCTGATGCTGAGCTGGGTGGGGACCCTCTGTGGGCAGATTGCACAGTGACCCTCCTGCCACCCCAGCCCCTCCCCGTTGGTCATGATCTTTGTGAAGTGGTGGCGGGGAGCCGGCGGGGGTTCGGTTAAGTGTAGTAGTGGTTTGACCCGAGCTGCTCAGTTGCACTGGGGCATCCGTGGGGAGGGAGGGAGGGAGGGAGGGGGAACCTGGGTGAGCAGGAGGTGAGGGGTGGGAAATCCCTCAGACAGGGAATGGAGGAGTCAGAGGAGGCTGGATGGAGGGGGGACGGAAAGTCCCATCCCCACCTCAGGCTTCATGATGTCAGACTCTGCCCGTGCCTTTCCCAGTCAGGGACAAAGGCCCATTGAGAGTGGGGTGGGGCTTGACCGCCTGGGTCCTGGAGAAGACAGGGGCCTGGTGCCTGGGCTTTGGGGGAGGACACCGCGACCCTGGGGTACTCATATGTGGCAGCCTTCGTGTCAGCACCCACCCCCTTGGGTTCACGTGCCTGTGCTGTTTGGGGGTACATCTCCTTCCTGGGTGTGGACTCGAGGCTGTGCCTGGGAGAAGGGCGCACAGGCGAGTGAGCCCGTGGACAGAACTGGAGGCTGTCCCCGAAATCCGAAGGCTGGGCGTCCGAACCACAGAGGACAGGGACTGGAGAGCTTGTCCCTGAAGCAGAGGTGCCACTCCATCCAGCCACCGGCCCCGCCACGTCACGGATCCTTCCACACAGGGCGGGGCTGTTAGCTTGCTAGGGCCACTGTCACACAGCACCACGAAATGAGTGGCTTGAAAACAGTGTCTGAGAGCCCTGGCCGGTGTGGCCCAGCGGTCAGAGCATCAGCCCAGGCACCGAAGGATCATGGGTTCAATCCCAGGTCAAGGGCACGTGCCTGCGTTGCAGGTTGGATCCTGGTGCGTGCAGGAGGCAATCAATGGATGTGTCTCTCTCACATCAGCGTTTCCTCCTCTCCCCATTCCTCCCTTTCAGTCCCTCTAAAATCAATGGGAAAAAATATGCTGGGGTGAGGATTAATGACAAAAACATCACAGTTTGTTATATCACCTGCTGGAGACTAGAAGTCTGATGTCAACATGTTGGCGTTTGGCTCCTTGGAGGGAGGGCGGTGGGGACGTGGTCTATTCCTTCCCCCAGCCTCTCCCCTGGCTTGTAGATGGCTATCTTCATGCTCACTTAGCCTGTGGGAGGAGCTCTGTGTCCAAATCAACCCTTTTTTTTTTTTAATCCTCATCCGAGAATATTTTTCCATTTATCTTCAGATAGAGTGGGAGGGAGAGAGAGAGAGAGAGAGAGAGAGAGAGAGAAACCATCGATGTGAGAGAGACACATCAATTGGTTGCCTCCTGCACCACCCTGACTAGGGCTGGGGATCGAACTGCAACCGAGGTACATGCCCTTGACCGGAATCAAACCTGCGACCCTTTGGTCAGCAGGCCGACGCTCCAGCCTAACCCTGAACCAAACCAGCCAGGGCTAAATCAACCCTTTTTATAAGGACACCAGTCCTACTGGATTAAAACCCACTCCGGTGACCTCATTTCAACTGGATCTCTCTAAAGATCCTATCTCCAAATAACGTCACGCTCTGAGGTACTGGGATTTAAAGCTTCAACTTATAAATTTGAGGGAGGGGGACACAATTCAACCCATTACATCAGGAGTTCAGATTTTTATGTGAAATACCTTGATGTTTAGGTTTTAGCACAATTTTATATAAAATATTGTGCAGATCAAGTAAAAGCCACCTTAGGGCAGAATCAAACCCTCAGGGCCACTTGCTTAAGCTGTCTTGAGGGGGAGCTGGTGCTTGGCACAACCAGGGGGCCCTTGCTGCCCTCCGCCAGAGTTGGCAACTTTGTCCCAGGAGTCCTCAAAGTGTGGCCCCCAGGCCAGCAGCATCAGTATCACCTGGAAGCTTGTTAGAAATGCAAATTCCAGCCCTGGCCAGTTTGGCTCAGCGGTTAGAGCGTCCACCTGCGGTCCGAAGAGACCCGGGTTCGGTTCCCGCTAAGGGCACGTACTTCGGTTGCAGTTTGTCCCCGGCCCTGGTTGGTCGTGCGGGTGGCAGCCACTCGATGTGTCCCTTTCACATCGATGTTTCCCTCTCTCTCTCTTCCTCTCTCTCCCTCCCACTCTGTCTGTACAAAAAATGGAAAAATGTCCTCGGATGAGGATTAAAAAAAAATTAAAAAAAAAAAATAGAAATGCAAATTCCAGGGCCCCACCCCAGACCTGCTGAGTCAGGAACTCTCGCACTCTGCACTTTTTTTTTTTCCTCTTTATTGATTTTAGAGAGAGAGGAAGGGAGAGAGAAACATCGATGAGAGAGAACATCGATTGGCCGCCTCCTCTTGCCCCCCACTGGGAATCGGGCCTACAACCTGGGCAAGTGCCCGGACCGGGAATTGAACCTGCGACCTCTTGGTGCGTGGGTCGACGCTCAGCCACTGAGCCACCCCGACCAGGTAACAATCTGCACTTTTCTGCCCTCCGGGAGATTCTGGTGCACACTGTAGGTTGGGTGCCTCGGCTGCTCATCTCTGGGACCACCGGGAGAACTTGCCAAGATGTGTGAAGGGTACTCAGTGCCACTGAGTGTCCTGATACTTCAGGTGTCCCACCTCCCAGGTATTTACCCAGGGGTCCTCTCCCTTGCAGGCAGTACTGATCCTTCACGCTGATGAGGCACTTGACAGTTTCCAATCCCATCTCAGGCTCCTTTCCTGCTGAGCAGCTCAACCGCCCAATCAGCTGAGACCTGGAGAGGCACATCTGTCCTTTTAGACGCGAGGAGGTGGGGTTTCGGAGCCTGGAGCCGACGCCGGCCAATAGGAGGCCTGGCTCCCCAGCTGGCCCTCCCCTGCCAGCCCCACCCCGTTCAGGAAATCCTGAGGGAGACCTCTCAGGGCCTCAAGGCAGCAGGCAGAGGTTGTGGGTTACCAGGCTGATCCAGCTCCCGGTGGTGTTTAGTTTGGCTCGCAGAGTGTCGATTTTTTTTTTTTTAAAAGAATCAAATTCCTTGAATCAGTTGCCAAAGTTTTAAAACTCAGGAAATTCCACATCAAAGTAAGGATTTCCACCTTCTCTGGGAAAAGCGGCTCCAGCCGAGCTTGGCCTGCCTTTGAGCCGGGCAGCCGGCACCGGGAGCCCCCTTGAGGTGGGATCCAGGCCCACCCACTTCCTGTCCATGCACAGCATTGAGGCCGAGTGGCCAGGGCCCCTGACCATCACACCACGGCTGCTGTTTTCCTATGGGCTAAGGAGACAGTGAGGCGCATCTTTGTTCCTATCAAAAGTGGGGAAATCAGATCCATTGAGAGGGATGTCGTTTTTAGAGAGCATAGGAGGAACCTTAATTCCTTGTGGGCGTGAACACTCTGCTCTCATGTGTCTCATGTGCACAGAGTGTCCTTATTGAGAGATGACAACCTAATATGCTCCTGTGAAACATACCCACACCTCCCTCACCTTCTGTATCTGTCTGGAAGGCCAGTGGGTCTCAAACTGTTTGATCTTAGGAACCCTTTCTGCAGAATTCTTGAGGACTCCAAAACTTTTTTTTATCCTCACCCGAGGACATTTTTGCATTTATCTTCAGATAGAGCAGGAGGGAGAGAGGGAGGAAGAGAGAGAGAGAAACATCCATGTGAGAGAGACACATCGAGTGGCTGCCACCCACACGACCCCAACCAGGGGCGGGGACAAACTGCAACCAAGGTACGTGCCCTTAGCGGGAACCGAACCCGGGACTCTCTGGTCCACGGGCCAACACTCTAACTGCTGAGCCAAACCTGCCAGGGCTAAAACTTTTTCATTTAAGTGGGTTATATGTACAGTTGCTTAACATGCTAGTAATCAGAAGTGGGAATTTTTTTTTTTCTTTCTTGATTTTAGAGAAATAAGGGAGAGGGAGAGAGAGAGAGAAACATCGATGAGAGAGAACATCAACTGGCCGCCTCCTACGTACCCCTGATTGGGGCTCTGGCCTATAACCTGGGCATGTGCCCCTCAGGAATCGAACCGGCGACCTCTTGGTGCTTGGGTCAGTGCTCAACCACTGAGCCATACCAACCGGGCGTAACTGGGAAATTTTTAAAGCTCAGCCACAGTCCATTAGCCACCAGGGTGATGGTGTCATCACATGTCACAGAGCTGCTGGAAAATCCCACTGTACGCTCAGGTGACAACGAGAGGGAAAGAGACTAGTAGCATCTTAGAAGTGTCTGCCCGTGGAGCCCCAGATGGAGCCCCAGACCTGACTCAGAGCCCTCACAGGCATTTGAGTGTGTCACCATTTCAAGGCTTAAAGGGGAAGAAACTGTCTAGTTTTCATTCCCTGCTGTGGCAACAGTAATTCTAGGTCTTATGAAATGGGGCTTAAAGAAGGGGAAGAGCAGCAAACAAATGCCCTTCACTGAGCTTCCTTCCAACCCCGGCGCACAGCAGCCCCGCACAGCCCTCCGAGGACTGGCCCTTCCAGGACAGCGGCCAGAATAGGCCTCTGGCATAGGCCTTTGGCAGGGAGAAAGGGCAACAGACACTTCGGTTTGGAAAAGAAAAGCGAGAACCAGCCATTTTATTCCAAGACCATGCGCCTTGTGTTGGAGGGCGGCAGGAATAAATAAGGGAGGGAGGGCGCGGGGAGGCTCTACGTCTTGCAGCAGATCCCACACCTGTTCGGATAACAGCAGCCACAGCAAAAGATGCAGATGGGGAAGTGGGTGTCTCTCCTCAGCCTCTGCAGCCCAGGCTGTGGGAAGGAAGGAAGAGTGAGTGGCCATGGGCCCAGGGAAGGCTGTGGGGCTCTGAAGGGAGGCCCAGGTGTTCTCACCGTCAAGCCAGCTGTGGCTCCAGCTGTGGCTCCAGCTGTGTCCTGGATCTGGAGGTCTGCAAGCTGTTTTGTCTATGAAAGCAGAAGGGGTATTGAGGATGGCAGGGGCCCAGCAGAGCTTGCAGATTTGCCCCCACCCACCCATCCCTCCCCAAGGGGCTGTGTCCAGGGCTCAGCTGGGAGCCTTTGTCTTCTGGCCTTTCCCCGCAGTCTCCTTCCTACCAACCCCCCAGGCCTCCTGCTCGCCCCACGGCTGCTGCTCTTCTTTGGGGCATCGCCCTCCCTGGCCGGGATGCCACCCCTCACCCGAAACCATCTCCATCCTGCCCCCGCAATCCGTTGCCCACAGGGTATCAGTCATAGTGCGGCTCCTCCTGCACTTGGGGGGGAGTCAGTTGCATGATGGCCCGTAGATTGGCACGTCCACCCCTCGCTCCCCTCCAAGCACCGGCGCCTCCACTTCCTACAGCCTCTGATGGTCAAGTACACCACGCTCGGCCCACCTCGGGTCTCTGCTTGCCACCCCTCCCTTCTCCTCCAAGTCATAGGTCAAATAACATCTTCTCACAAAGCACTCCTGCTTGGCGGCTAGCTCTCCATCCCACCTGGAGCCCCCCAGCCCCCCACATGCTCACCGGACTACAGTCCTTTCTGATATTTGTGAGTAGCATTTACTGACCACCAGCGGCCTTATGTTTTGTTCTTTGGCTCATTCCCTGACCAGATGGTGAGCACCATGAGGGCAACATCTCTTATCTACCCTATTCCTTACTTGATCCCCACTGTTGGGAACAGGACTTGACACAGAGTAGGCACTCAATAAAGAACGGGGGGAATAGTTTGGGGCCCCCAGTCCCCGCCACTCGGACCCTATCTCTGTACTTGAAGCAGCTGGCCAAGCCTCCTTTGCCCGCCTCGTGCTCTGCCCAGTCCTGGGGGGTCTCCGGCTGCCCCAGGGGTCCCCTCCCAGGGCCTGGCTCTCCAGTCCCTGCCGCCCAGGCTCCGAGGGTGCTCACCTGGTGCAGAACTGAGGCGCTGGCCAGGCTGGCCAGGAGGAGGAGCAGGAGACAGGCAGCCTGGATCCGCATGTTCCGTGCCGTTGTGCTGTCTGGCTGGCTGTCCTGCTGTTAGGTCTAGGACCGCTCTGGTGTCTGGGCCGTTACAGTTGCTTTTATGGGGCCTGCTGGGGGAGGCAGGGGTCATAAGCCCCCTCCCCTTTGTCCTCACTCATTTCCAAGAAGGTGGTGGCGCCGAAAAGGCGGGAGATAAGCGGGAACAGAGTGACAGGGAACAGGGTTATGTCACCCTCAGCCAGCAGAGGTGTGTCCAGGGGGGTGGGGCAGATGAGGCCACAGACACAAGCCTTCAGCCAGCCACCTGGGAAACACTTTCCCTGACATGACATCACCTTGTTGATCTCAGAGAGAATTCCTTTTGCCCCGGAGGTGGAACAGGTCGACGAACAGAGCAAGGTGTCCTCGCTCCCCGTGCTGACGTCCTCGTTCACGTGGGGATGGCTGTCACTTACCAGGCCCCTCGGGGTGCCTGCTGCAACTGTTTCAGGTTCTGTTCTGTGGAGAACACAGCAACGGCCAGGGGCGGGAGTGAGTCTGACAGCCTTCAGAGGTGGCCCCGGTGTCTGGAAAATGGTCCTGTGAACTTGTGGCCGTGCAAGGGCAGGAGCAGTCGCGGCTGCTCCTCCTGGACCACGGCAGCCGAACTGGCCCCTGCTTTACCCCAGCCAGCCCCTCCCCCGGACTGCCCAGCCTGGGCTCTATCGGGACCCTGCGGCCGGCTCAGCCCACCCCAAGAACCTGGCTTCCCAGCCACTGCGGCCTCTTAGGAGCCCACCACGCCCACCCATCGTCTTCCTCACTCAAGAGGCAAAGATGGGGGCACTGCCCACGCCAGGGCAGGGCTGCGCCCCAGACGAGGCGGCCCCACTCGGGCCTGTGCTTACACCAGCCTTTCCCGCCTCCCCTAAACACAGGAGGGCTCGGGCGGGTGGGGAGGGGGTGCGAGCCTGGCTCATGCTGACTCGAAGGAGCCACTGTGCACATCCCATTCCAACTGCACACCCAGTGACACCGTGTTGGTACCTGGACACCAGTGGGGTATATGTACACCTGACATCTACAAACCAGGGCTTTTTTCTGGAGAGCTGGTCCCTCAGAACACCCCTGGGTGGGGAGATGAACCGAGGCTGCCTGTCCTAGCCACTACCTGAACCACAGGGGGTGGGTGCACAGTCCTGAGGACCCCCAAACTTGATTTCAGAGATGGGGCTTCGGCCTTTGCCTCTGACTCCTTCTAGGATTACCCAGCGCCAACCTTGCCACTGGAGCCTGGAGATGCTCCTGCCCTGAACCAAGCCCCCTCAAACCCCAAGAATGGGGGCCCTTGGGGAGCAAAGGCTGCTCCCTGCCACCTGCCTCCCACTCGCTCCGTCAGGCTCTTCCTGCTGCACATATACACCCCACTCTTGAAGACGGCCGCAGAGCGGTGGCCAGGCAAGGGAGGCAGGGCTCGCGGAGGGAGGAAGCCAGCTGGGGCACCAGGGGTGCACGCAGGGTGAACTCCGCACGTGGCCCCTGGCAGGCCGACCCTGGGAGAGGACGGAGTTGCTTGGAGGCTGCAGGTTGAAGCAGGGTCCCGTGAAGAGCTGCATGCCCCACCCCAGGAGACGGAAGCATCCCCCAGTACTGCCCGATGTCACCGCATCTCCACTCAGGCCAGGTTTCATCATCGGCCAGGGCAGGGGTCACAGCACAGGCGCCAGAGCCACAGTGCAAGGCGACAGGCTGACGGGCCAAGCCTGGCTTCCTGGCTATCTGCCTTCCTTGGGGGTGGGGGGCTCAAGGCCAGGCCCCACCATTGGCTGGTGCAGAGGGAAGGGCTTCAGCCCAGAAGGGCAGGGACAGGAGCCAGTCCTGCCTTTAGGAACTGGTGACACAGGAGACCCCAGCCTCTCCTCCAAAAACATGGGTCCTTGACCCAGCCTCTCCCTCGCTCCCACACCACCTATACACACCTGGGCCTCAAAGAGGACATTCATTCCTTAACCCTCCTTCTAGCCAGCCAACAGACTGGGTACCGTGCAGTACAGAATGGCAGGCACTATCACACAGCCATTAATACAACAGCTGAGGCCCTGCCCTGACAACTCTGCAGACCCCTGGCCCCTACCCACACCTGAGATGGACAGATACACAGACAGACAAGGCGGGGCCACATGGGGCCAGTTTATTGCAGTTAAATACCTCTCTCTCTCTCTATTTTTTTTGTCCATTTTTTCCATAAAGAAAATTAAAACACACACACACACCCAAAGGGGAGCAGGAATCCAGAAACAAGAGGTGGGGTGGGCCACGGCCTCCCTGCTTAGGTCCAGGTCCCAGGGATGGCCCCCCAAAGGCTCCCCTCCTTCCCATAAGCACCGTCACAGTACCTCTAGAGACCAAAGAGGCAGTGGGATATGGCAGGGCCTCTGTCCTCCTCCCTTTTGCCTCCAGGCGAGACCACTAGAAGTGCTGGGGCTTAGTGGGGGCCGGGAGAAGGGACACAGACAGATGGGGAGGGAGGACATCATTTCCACGTTGAGGAGAGCGGTGGGTGCTTATCCACAGAAATGCATTACTTCTCCCCATTTATTTTGTTAAAAATCTACTATAAAAAAACGCAGCTGGGGGAGGGGCATGTGTCCCTCTCTGTGCTAAGGGCTGGGGAAGGGGGCAGCAGAGGCCCAGAGGCCCCCGCTGCACGACGGGCGGGCGTCACTGCCGGTTGTTCTCGCCCACCATCTCCAGGTTGTGCTGCTGCAGCTGGGCACGAAGCACGGCGTTTTCATTCTTCAGCTCCTCGATCTGGCAGACGTGAGAGGGAACAAGAGGGAGGGATGGTTCCCTGCACCTTGGGGTCCTGGGTGCTCCTCCCAGCCCCCACCCTGGCACTCACCTGCTGCCTCAGGAGCTCATTGTCCATCTGCAGCCGCTCGGCCTCCTTGAAGGTCTCCTGCATGCGCTGGTTGGTCTGGCGCAGCTCCCGGATGTAGTCGCAGGCCTTCGACAGGATCCCTCCTTTACTCTGGGGGGTGGGCAAGAGCCTTCAAGTGAGCACTGCCTGCTCGCCTCTGTCCACTGGCTCACCCCGGGACAGCTCGTGTGCCCCGTGGTCAGGCAGACTTCCTGGGGGGGCTGGGGCACTCACCGCTCCTGTCTTGCTATTGTCCGCATTACAATCTGGAATGATTTTTGAAAGTTGGACAATCCAGTTGTTGATCTTGTCCCTCCGCCTCCGCTCCACTGTAGGAACAAGAGCAGCACCAGTAGGTTCGCAGAGCTTCCTGCGCGCTAGGCGGTCTGCCTCCCGCCCGCCTGGGCAGGGTCACCCTGCCTCCAGACACTGGGTCAAGGCCCGAAGGCAGGCGGCTGGCTCCCCCCGCACACTGCTTCTCAAGAGAAACACAGAAAGTCTTGCTCTCGAGTGCCACACACACCTTTAAAGCAGAATCAACAGAGGGGACTGCAGGTTCATTTTGTTTGTCTATTTTCTTTTTTCATCCTCACCCAAGGATATATTTTTTAATATCTTCAGATAGAGTGGGAGGGGAAGAGAGCGAGTGAACAAGAGAAACATCGATGTAGGAGAAGACACATCAATTGGTTGCCTCCTGCAAAACCCTGACCAGGGCCGAGGACGAACCACAACCAAGGTACGTGCCCTTGGCTGGAATCGAACCTGTGACACTTTGGTCCGCAGGCCGACTCTCTAACTGCTGAGCCAAACCAGCCAGAGCTTGTTTGTCTATTTTTAAAAATCTGAGTCAACATCTAAAAATGAGGAAATTTCACATAATAATGAACATCTCTGGAAAAACGGAGTTGTGGCTACAGTTGGCATGCGCTCGAGAGGCAAGAATGGGCAGAGTCCCTTCACACGAAACCACAGCCCCTGCATTCAACTGTCCAGTCCTCGGGTCTCCCCAGAGCACTGGGTCCCACAAGCTGCTCTTTCTTCCTCTTTAAAGCCAGTCTGACCTCGTCTCATCCCTGTTTTAAAACCCTTTTCCAAGGACCCAGCAGCCAGTCCCTGACCCCAGACTGGCACTTGAGGCTCTCGGGCTGTCCCATCAGGGCACCAGGTCACCCAGAACAGAACGAACCCTGTCTGGAAGGCCAGAGATGGCGAACTAGTGGAAGATTTCACTTGGAAAAAATCCAAATTTGTCATTTCATAAAATGCCACAATGTCACTCTGCCAGCTGAGTCAAGCAGCAGGGCTTGTCTTCTCTCTGGCTTCTCACCTGGCCCCCATGTCCTGACCTTGTGACGGCTGCCTGGGGCCTGCCTGCGTTAGAGCCGAGACCCGTTTAGGGCCTATTGAACGAGCCTGTCCCAGCCGTTCTTTACCTCCAACCCCAGTACTAGGCACTCGGGACACACAAGAAAGTCCAGCCCCCCGGCTCAGTCCGCGGCCAGGACGGCCCACGGATAAGTGTGGACGCATCTGCGGAGAGGGGACTGGGCCCACGGGGAGCCTTGGGAAGGAGCCAAGACCTCTTCTCAGGGTGGGCAGTGTTGACGGGAGACTGCGGAGGGCACTGAGCGAGGGTGGAAAGGAGGGGCGGGCCAGCACCGCCCGACCCTGACCCTGACCCCGACACACGTGGCCACTAAGAGACAATCCCCGCCTTCTCCTGGCACTTGGTTTCATCCACTTAATGCTGAGCACCTCCAAATGCTCCCCACTGTGGTTGGGTGACAACATCCTACTCTGTGGAGGATTTTCCCCTTCCCTGGCTCCTCTTCCTCCCTTGCTCTCCTCTTTCCCCAGAAACCTCCCTACTCAAATGACAAGAACAGTGCCCAGTAGAGAGCTTTGTCTGACCCTGGTCCTGGGCCCCACTGCTGTTGTGATGAGAACCTTCCTTTCGAGGACAGCCTTGCTTGTCTTAGTGTCTGGGAACTCTGCGGCCAAAACCCGCAGCAGAGCCAAGAGTGCGGCCCAGGCCTGGTGGCAGGCCCGCCGTGGCCCTCGGCCGCGTGCATGCCCCACTCCAGAGGTTCCAGCTGAGGAACTCAACAGATGGCTTCTCCGGTCCTTCCCCGGGCCTGGGCACCAGGCTGCAGCTGCACCTCCCCAGTACTCCTCACTTCAAGCCACCAGGGGGCAGCGACAGGTGCTGTGGCACATCTCCAGTTTGCATTTACTTCTTAAAAACACTGCCACCTGGCCAGAGTGGCTCAGTTGGTTGAGCATCAGCCTGTGCAAGGAAATGTTGCTGGTTCGATTCCAAGTCAGGGCACAAAGCTGGGCTGCGGTCTGATTCCTGGTTGGGGCACGTAAAGAAGGCAACTGATTGATATTTCTCTGTTTCTCTCTCTTTTAAACACGTCCTCGGGTGACGATTAAAAAAAAAGTACTGCCTGCCCTACTGTGTGCACAGCACTGAGGCTGGAACCCACTGTGAGGTGCACACAAACAGGTGAAAGTAAGTGATACCAACAGTAAAGGACATGTTATAACTGAAGACTGTGCCCAGCACCCGGGGCACCCCAGGGTAGGCAATGATTTCTGCATGGAGTGGGGTGGGGTGTAGCCTCGAAGACTAAAAGGAAACATCTGGGCTAGTTTATGATGGGAGAGACATCAGGCAGACAGGTGTGAAGACCCCAAGGAACAGTGACATGGAAGTAATGGGGATGGGGGGCATGCAATAGGGCGACAGGAAGAGGCTGTGAAGGCCTTGTGCCTGCTGATGGGTCTGGACCTCATCTCTCACTCTAGGGCCCGGGCCCTTGAGCCTGGGGCCTTCCATGCAGCAGGTGGAGACGTGTGCTGGGGAAGACCACCTGGCACATGTGAAACAGAGGAAGACCAAAACCAAGGCCACGTGTATTCCACAGAAGGGCTTCAGTTACACCCACACAACATTTAAAACACCACCTAGAAGTAAAATCTGCCAGGACAAACTCACAATACACTCGGAGACATCAACACTCCTCTCAGGACGCAGTAGAACAAGTAGACGAAAAACCAGGAGAGGAAACCTGAACCGCCAACGCCCCGACCGAGTGGACACGGAACAGTCCGCAGCAGCAGGTCCGCGGCAGCTTTCACCACGACAGACCGTGCTTGGCTACGCGGCAAGTCTTAATCCAGTTCAAAGAACTAAAATTATATAGAGTGTAATAAGACTAAATTCAAAACCAGTAACAAAAAGACATCCAGAAAACCCACAAATATCTGGAAATTAAGCAGCATTCTTCTAAATCACCCAGGAATCAGAGAAGAAATCACAAGGAAAACTGAAAAATACTTGAAACTGAACGATAATAAAAACCCAACATATCCAGATGGGATGTAGCTAAAACGAGTGTTACAGTGAAATTTGTAACTAGAAAGTTTGTATTAGGAAAAGAAAGGTTTAAAATCATCTTTAAAAAGCAGAAGAAAAATAAGACAACTACCTAGCAAATTAAACCTTAAGTAAGTAGAAAGAAGAAGTTAGTAACGTTAAGAGTGGAGACCAATGAGATAGAAAAAGCAATTCTACCTGGCATTTAAAAATCAGATTTCAGCCCTGCCGGTTTGGCTCAGCAGTTAGAGCACTGGCCCACGGACCAAAGTCGCGGGTTTGATTGCGGTCAAGGGCACGTGCCCCAGCTGAGGGGCCCGGAGATGGGTTCCCACAGCACCGAGAACTGCTGGGAAAGATGTGAGAAGGAGAAGCTGGTCTGAAGCACAGTCTCCGACCTGGGGGTGTGCGGGAAGAGGGGGGCATAGTTAAGGTGGCCTGGCTGAAGTTCTGGCCTGCATAATTGGGACGGGGGGCCTTTTGCTGCAGTAGGAAAAGGAGTGTTGCGTGGGAGCTCTTGGGGAGGAGAGAGAGCAGGATCTGTTTGGACACACTGAGTTTGAGGTGTCTCAAGGACATCCAGAAATGTATCTTTTGGATGAGCAGCTCAGACTGAGTCTAGAGTTCAAGGAAGCCCCAGAGGGACACTGAGGAGGGGCAGGTCTCATCTTTTTGGAGTCACACAGGAGAAAGCCAGCAGAATGCCCTCCCCGGAAAAGTAATGAACACCTACACCTAGGGACGGGGCTTTGGGGATATTGACAACCCGAGCCTAACATTTCACTCTCCGGAGGCTGCCCAGATCTTAAGAAACATCAGGAGCCGAAGCAATTTCCCAGCCTTGCCCAATGTGAAGAATCACTTGAGGAACTTGGGTCTCCCTCTGACCTACCCTTCAGAACCTGTGAGGAAGCCCTGGAGACCCTGGCTGCTAACGAGCTTCCTGAGTGCCTAGGAAGCCCCGCTCTAAGGAGCAGGCGGGAGGAGAGGCGAACAGTAGAGGAGAATCAGAGCAGACAGAGCAGAAAGGACCATTACCAAAAGGAGGGGACCACGCAAGGTCAGATGCTTAGAATGCAGAAAGGAAAAGAAGCCAATGGATTTGGCAACGAGGTCGTCATGGACGAATTAAGTGGGCAGAGAAAAGAGCCAGACTGCGATGGGTACAGGATGGGCAAAAGATGGCCCAAATACTCTGCAGGTTAGGAGAGGGTAAGGGCAAGGTTGTGAAAAAGACTGCTTTTTGTAGGAAAGACTTCAGAGTGTTTGCAGGTAGATTGGCCTAGTGACAGGCAGAGAGTGAGAGAGTGAGGTACAGGGTGGCTGGAAGGCACCCCAAGAGTGGTTTGCTGCAGCCTCACTGGGGCCACCACTGCCGGGAGCTCACATGTCTCAGCTCATGCATCCTCACAAACCTCTGCAGGACACGGGTTGACATCATCTCACAGAGGACTGAACAGGCACAGAGACTAAGAGCCAGTCTGAGGTCATATGACATAAGCAGTAGAGACAGAACTGCTGGGTGGCCTACAGGAGGCCCCTCACAGTTGCCACACCCAAAACTGAGCCCAGACTCAACCCTTCCCTTTTCAAACCAACCTGATCCCATATGAAATCCTGATTCTCCAGCCTTGGAATCTTCTCCCCGCGCCCTCCCACCCTCCATGCCCTGTCCTATCCCAGGCCAGTCATCTGTAGTCGCCTCTTATTTACTTAGGCCCCACTTGTCCAAACATTTATGAAGGAATCAGACTTGAAAATGACCTCTGGCACCCCTTACTATCTAGCCTCCGTACACAAACACCTCTGTTGGTTTCCCTTCAAACTACAATAAAACCCAAGAGCAGGGACACTGGGAGGGCCTCTTACAAGGCCCCGTGGGACCGGCCTGGCCTTGACCAATCCTGTGACTCTGCCAACTTCCTCTTTCCTTTCCTGAATTCTGCTCTCCTTCAAACATGCCAAGTCTGTTCCGGCTCAGGCGGGGGATTCACACTTGCTCGTCCCTATGCCTGGGACTCTCCCCCAGGACTTAGCTGGCCTCTGCTCAGAAACCTACACTGCTGCCACTACTCTCTATCTCCTTACCCAGCTTTATCTTCCTTCATGCTGCCTGACGTCACATTGTAGCTTTGTGTAATTTCTATTTGTCCTATCAGAATAAACACTACGAGAGCCAACACCTCATCTGTTTGATTATCCACTATATCTGAAAACCTGAAACGGGCTGGCACAGGGTGTTTGTGCAGACTGAATGCCTCAACTTAGAGAGCTGCTTCGACCACAGCTGCTAGGCCCATCCCCAGCTGAAGACCTTTAGAACCCTGGGGCCTCACTCTGGCATTCAGGGCCTTCCTTGACTCTCCTGGCTCCCCTCCCAAGCTCTCCACATCAGACCTCGCAACAACCAAACCAGCACCCTCCAAAGCAACTTGACTCCTCTCTGCCTTCCCCCTTCCAGCCTCTGCTCCCCTCTGTCTGACAGGCCCTCCCAAAAACCTCCCCAGGGAAGCATCACCTGATCCCCCAGTCAGTGTTCAGTCAGACACTAGCCTGAACTCCCAAGCTTCCACACTCCACACTATGCCCCACACCTGGCCCAGGGCACATGCTGTCTGGAATCCACCTTTAGGAACTATTTGCTGAAGGACAGTTGTTTGGGTGTATTTCCCTGGACAGAGGTTTGGGTAGGAAACTAGGAGACAGCAAAGAGGGCTAAAATGACCTTAGGATGTGGAGTTGGTGTTTATAAGGGCAGGATTGCTCCAGCCTTGGCCAGCCAGAGGCACAGCTTCCTGCAGCTTCAGCCTCCAATGTGCTCCCTGTCAGACCAGGTACTTCTGAAGGCCAGGCAGGCAGGGACATGACGGACTCGAACACAACAGCTGCCAATGGAAAGGGAGGTCCAGGGGAGCAGGAAATCTGTGTGTGAGTGTGAGACCTGCCATTTTAGATGCTGGCCCTTCATTCAAAATCACCAGCCAGGGTGACAAACCACATTCCAGTCCATGCATCCTGCCTATCTGTTCATAAACTTCCTCCCTCTGTTTCTACTTTTCCAGCGTTCAACAGACACGACTCTCGCACTTGGAGCGTGCCCAAGATCTGTGACTCCACACACCAGGCCTGGCTGGCTGTCCCTGTGAGGCCGAGGCCTGGCTTGGCCCAAGGGCTCCACTTTGACTTTACCTTCATTGTGCTGAGCTCTCCTTCTCTCGTCCCGGGGTGTTCTAGTTCCATCAATTTTCCTAGAAGAGGGATAAAATGGGCACATGTTAACTTAGGCCCCACTTGCCCAAATAGTTATTGAGGAATCAGACTTGAAACGACCTTTGCTAAGACATATCCGCAAAAGGAAAAATAAATGACTGTTTTCTTATATTAAAGGAACAAAAACAGACCAAAAAAACACATCAAGTGTCTGCTATGAGCTCAACTGTCTGGCTTGTATTCCAGAAAACCCACACCAGGCCCTCCCAGTGTCTCTCCTGCTAGTAGGCCCAGTCTCCTGCACATACGGGGAGTAGGGGTGTGTCCGGGGTGCAATCGTCCTTTGCGTTCCTGTCTGAAGCACGTCCTGGGGCGTCATCATGACATAGAACTGGCCTGTAGGGAAAGTGGGGGGGTTAGTGCTAAAACTGGGAGCAGAGTCAGAAATGGCTGGGGGACTCCCTCCCTGCTAGACCTGTTGCCTCCCCTGCCTTCCACCTTGGCCCCTTCCTCCCTTTACCTCCGGCCTGCAAGCTCTGGTCTGTGGTCTGTACCGACACAGCTGTGGTATCTCCCACACTGGATGCTGGGAAATAGGCAAATCGTGCCTCCCCACTGACAGCCTCAGCTGCTGGGCTGCCGCCATTGCTGAAGGGATTTTGGATTACAGCCTGGGGAGGAGGACACAGAGACTACCCTTAGCCATCTTGTTCCCCAATCTATCCGCTTGTTGCCCTGTCTGATGGATACTGCATCCTCTATGGAGGGTGGGGAATCCCTCTGCCTATGTCTCAGTTGGTCCTGGAACTTGCAGACACTCAGCAGTCATTTGGTGAGCCAATCGATTTTCACCTCTATGAGACTTTTCTACTACCATCATCCCTCATTTACAGAAAGAAAAAACGAGGTTCCAAAAATCTTGCCCAAGGTGTCACTGTGCAGAACAGGAATTTAACCCGCAGTCTGACAGCCTGAAAGCAGTCTCTATGTTGCACATGCCCCACCCACCCGGGCTCCCTCAAAACAGTCAGTCCCCTCTCCATCCCCCCAGGCGAGGCTGAGCACCTACCAGTGGGAAGGGTGCTGCCGGACCTGGGGGCACAGAGGCAGCAGCGGGACCCGGGCGCTGGGCTGCCCCATCCACACCCACCTGGGTCACAGCCTGCTGCCCCCCAGCAAAGGCAGCCGTAGACACGACGCTGACGGCGCCTGCTGTGTCGCCTTGGCCATCCAGCTGACCATCAGTCACCTGGACTACGCGGTATGTCACCTGCAGGGGGCGGCAGAGCAGCGAGACCAGCGCTAGGGCCCGGGCAGGGGCCAGGTCCGAGCCCCTCCCAATCCTCCCAAGTCGACCCTCCGCTCAACACTCCCCTGGCCCACTGTCTCCCGCCCGGGCTCACCTGTCCTCCATTATTCTCTGTGCGGAACTGGTACTGGATGTTGTGGTCGCCGAACGCCGCCTGCTGGACGCTGGCGATGGCCACCGCCGTCTGCTCCTCCGCCCCAGGGCCGTCCCCGCCTACGGTCGAAGGAGGGTAGGGGCGATGGTCAGCGGTCGCGCGAGCCTGGGCACCCCTTGCCCTCCCCGGGCGCAGGCTGCGGCCCCGGTGGGCCTCGCGAGCACTCACCCTCCTGCAGCTCGACGCCCTCCTCTGCCTCGGGTCCTTTGTCGTGACTGCGGGGAGGGAGGGCAGAGGGGGTCAGGGCCGCCCGCATCCCCGCCCCTTTGCTCAGGTGCAAGGCCCCCATCCGGCCCGGCCCGGCCCGGCCGGGGGCTGGGGCTCCGCTAGGGCCCGGGGCGGGGGGCATCAGCACGGTCCCCCCTCCCTCGCGGCCTCCATTTTGAGCTGGGCCCCGCGGTCGCTCGGGATCATGGCGGCCCGGCTGCAGGCCGAAGGGCCGGAGCCAGGGCGCGGGGGCACGGACCGGCCGGGCACCCTTACCTGGCGGCGGCAGCAGCGGTGGCCGAGGCAGCGGGATCCAGACCCGGGTCCAGCATGTCCATGGGGGGGTGGGGGCGGGGGGGGGCGCGCGGCCCGGGGGGAGGGGAGGGGTGGGGTGGGGTGGGGAGGGGAGGGAGGGGAGGGGGCGGGCGGCCGGGGGGGGCCCCCGAGCCCGGCGCTCACGCCGCGCGGCAGGAGGGGACGGAGGAGACACGGGAGCCGCTCGCGCTGATCACGGGGACAAACAGTGGGGTCATGTGAGGAGGAGATGCCGCCGCCGCCGCCGCTTTTCCTGTAGCCGCCGCCGCCGCCGCCTCCGCCCGCTCTCTTGCCAGCTCGCGGCAGCTCTGGGCTCCGGGACGCAGCACGGCCGCCCCCCGCCCGCGGCCCTCGGGCCTTCTTCCCCGAGCCGCCGCCGCCGCGACTTTTTTTTTTTAACCCGGCCCGCCCTAGACGGCCGCCGCCTCTCCCCTAGGTCGCCGGCTCGAGCGTCAGCCGCCCGGCCCGGCCCAGTCCAGCGGCAGATCGCTGCTGCAGCGGCCGCCGCTTTCTATTTTTTCCTCCTTTTTTTTCCTTCTTTACTTAAGCGGCGCGCGCGCGGCGGCGGCGGCGGCGGCGGCGGCGGCAGCGCGAGCCCCGGGCCGACGCGCGCGCGGGGAGGGCAGCCCCCGGGGAACGCGCACGCTGTTTGTCTCGGATGGCGGGCGGGCGCGCGCCGGCCGGGTCTCGGCGGGGCGCCGGGGCGCTGCCCCGCTCCCGGGCCGCCTGGCACTCGCCAGCGGGCGGCCCGGGTGGAACGCGGGCCCGGATGGAACGCCAGGGGACGAGGCAGGCTGCGGGGTTTGGAGACTGTGGTCGGGGGACGGGGGGGCGTGAGTGGAGTGGAACGGTAGAGGAGCGCGCATGCGCGCTCCCGGCGCTTGGGTTAAAGTGCATGAAGGCGGAGGCACGGGGCGCATGCGCACGCCTGGGCGGGGCCGGGGCGCGCACGCAGGGCGGGGCGGGGCCAGTGTAGGGTACGTACTCCCTGCCTAGGGAAGAGGGCGCAGGCGAAGCTGGTCCTCTCCTGGCCCTGGCAGGTCCCCGAGGAGGGGGCACGCGGCCTCGTGCTGACACAAGTCAGCTCTCCGGGGTCCCCACCTCACGCAGCAAAACAAACGCTTCCCTCCACAATTACGCTTTGTGATCATATATTTTATTAGACTTAAAAGAGGAATATCATCAACAGTTCCTCAAATTTTAAAAAAGTACAAAACTACATACAAAACGAAATCAGACGACTAAACTTTCCCGACTCAGGGCCAAGTTCTGCAAAGGAGAAAGAAAAACAGGGTGTGAGTTCAGGAGGGCTGGAGGGTCCGGGAAGGGTGCTCAGGCCAGGGCAGGTTGTTCACTCACCTTCTTAAGCTTCCGCTCCCGGGAGGCCTGGGAGTCGGTCTCCGAGTAAGGGGGAGGCGCTGGAGGGTAGTAGTCCTCTTCCTCCCTGTAAGATCTCCTCTCTACTGGCCCCTTTTTCCTCAAGGCCTCTTCCAGAAGCCGCCCATCATATTGAGGGTCCCCAGACCTGGAGCTATCGCTCCGAGCATCCCGGGAGCGTGGGTAGCGGGACCCAGGGTCAGCATGAGGGCGGTCTCTAGACCTGAAGTCATCGAAGCGGGGTTCCTGGGAGTGTGGAAAGCCCCTTGGGTCTTCATGGTCATAGAGGTCATCACGGCTGCGGCTTCGGGGGGGTGCATAAGCTCGGCCTCTCCTCCCACTACTTGGGGGAGACCTCCTCCCGGATTCAGCAGAGCCTGGCCGAGCGAGGTCATCCAGAGCATCCACAGAGCGGGCCCGGGGCCGTCCGGCCCCCCAGCCACTCTTGGGCTGTTCTCTGAAGGGCTCTCGTTCCCACCTCCTGGGACTCCGAGGGGAGTGGTGACCCCATTCCTCATCCTGGATTGGGGTGAGGGCAGGGCCCCGAGAAGGCCGAGCTCTCCAGTCGTCTTCATGGAGGGAGGTGACTTCACTCATGGCTGTAGGGAAGGGAAGTGTCACTGGCGGCTGGGAGGTCAGGACTTAATGCCAGGAGCTCCCAGGTCCAGCAGCGTTACCACTTGGCTCACACACACTCTACAGGACCCTAGGCTTCTCATCTGTTAAGGGATGACATGCAGTGGCCATACACTTCTCACTGTGGCCATGGCAGGGAAGGAGGTACTATGTCCAAGAATTACAACAAGCATCACTGGGACAAGTCATCAGGGAGACACGCCCCCCCCCTCTGGAACCCCTCAAACCCCAAGGCTCCTCACCCCTCTCTACACGGCTGCTGGGGGGGCCAGGTCGAGAAGGGTCGAAGTTGGCCAGTTCTTTCTCCATGTAGTACAGGACTCGCATGGAATCGTCCTGCTGGTTGGCCTGTATCCTGTAGCCACTACGGACTTCTAGGGACAGGAAACAGAAGTGATCAGTTTGGGTGCTGACCCAGCCCCCCCCCCCCCCCAGGCATGTCCAACTTTGTAACACTTGGTTCTTACCAGAGGTCACACTGCTATCTGTATCACGAAGTAGGGGTACCTGGGAGCTATGGCCACCTACTGGGGGAGACTGATTGTTACTGGCTGACCTCTGGAGCAAAGCCCTCCATTCCTAACCCCCACCCCTGCCCCCAGTCCCCTCTTCCTTCCAGCCCCACACCCCTTAGTGCCCAAATGCCCAGCCTACCCCTGCCCCAGTTGCTCCTGGCTCCCCCAGACCTCACCTGAGCTGTTCTTGTCGAAGTCTCCAGCGTACCCGTTGTAGACAGTGCCCATAGGAATCATGGTTGTTGGGGGTGGGCTCTTGGCAGGGGGAAGGTAAGCGTAGGTGCTGGGGGCGTAGACGCTCGGGACGCCTGAGGTGGCTGCTTTGCCAGCAGCGTACACTGGTAGGACACACAACATGAGACCGTGGCAAAGAGCCATGCTGCCCTTGCCTGTGATGACAGGTCCGGAAGGACGAGTGCAGGGACCTTCTCCCCATCCCCTCAGTTGGGGAGCTTCCCTGGGGACTTGGCTGGTTCCTGCAGGTCCATCTTCATTGAGTCCACACCTCCTGTGATTCCTCAGAGCTCTGAGGATGGGGGTATACCCTGGCAGGCCGCAGCCCCAATCTGGCAGGCCAATGTTTTGTTTCACATTGTGATGGTTTACCAACATTTGTTGAGGTTTTACATAAAAATCCCAACTCTAGCCACCTTATCAGAAGATGTGGCCACCTGGGGCCTACATTCTTATAGAGCAACAGGGGGCAAAGGTGTGCCTTTAGGTAAAGCCCAGGTGTTGGACCCACAGGCTGAAATATTCCTGTTGGCAGCTGAGCCCCAGCTTTAGAAAAGGAATCATCTGGTGGGAGGGGGTAGAATCCTATACCTGCTCCCCTATAAGGCCTGCTGGGTCCTCCCCATGGTGTCTTCCAGACCTAGACACCATAGGGAGTGTGTCTACTATTTCCAGCTCCTGGGCTGCACCCACTCACTCTGCCTTCACCCGCTCCCGGTTCTAGACGACAGCTCAAGGGCAAATCTTGCTGCCTTCCTCACCAGGCCACAGGCTGCATTCCGGTGGCTGTGCTTGCAGCCAAGTCACTGTGCCTAGGCAAGCTGCTGCTTCCCTGGGCCTCTACCAGGAAAGCGGGGGTGGGGGGGGACAGGCTCAGAAAGGTTCCTTCACTGCGGACTCAGTCAGGAAGCAAAAGGCTCAGTAGTCCCCCCAGGAGAAGCCCCTCGGTAGCTCAGTGATTGTTCAATGATCTGCTGAGGGAGCCGCTGCTTCCAGATGGCCCAGGAGGGCTGTGGCCGTCACTAGGATTGTGGAGTACCACAGCCTCTGGTAGGGCATTAATGGGGCCTCAGTTTGTGGTAACAGACTCAGAAGGAATTTGCAGTCTTGGCCACAGCCCCAGCCTAATTTGTGGGGTAACTGCAAATTTAGTTATAGCCCTTGAGGGTCCCTTCCCACCTGTGAAATGGATGAAGATACACTGCCCGAACCAGAAGCTCTCTACTCAACATGACAACAACCACAGCTAGCACAGGCCCGAGGGCAGTGGACTTTTTCCAGGGGAGTGATATTTTGAGGAACCAGTTTGCCCACCACTGAGCTCAATGACCACAGAATTAGCCAGCACACATGGAGCCACAGCCCTGGGCACTCAGTCTCCCCTTAATGCTCATGACACCCCATGAGGTGGGAGAACAGGCTTGGAGAGGGATCACTGCTTGTCCGAGGTGTGGGCGGCAGGGCTCTGATTTGCTCTCTGGCCCCGGGTCATGGCCGATGCTAAAGGCAGCAATGTCCAATGGCTAGTGGGTATGGGACACCTCATGTAGACCCAACCGTGCGCTAAATGCCGGACACACCAGTGTCCCACGTTCACCCTGCACAGAGGCCTCTGCCACAGCCCCATTTTGGAGAAGAGGAGACAGAATGACATGGGGGATTCACTGGGCTTCCAAACAGGTAAGGAGGCAAGCCAGGCCTCAAACGTCCATCTTGCAAAAATCGCTTGCGATTCAACTATTAACGTAGCTCGGACTGCAGTACACTAGAATGATGGCATGTGTGTAAGCTTGAAATGTAAGTATACAATGCATCTATCTGGAGTACCTGGGTCATTCTGTCCATCACCTGCTCTCTACTGGCCTAGAAATGGCCAGGTGCCCTGAGGAGCAGGTCTGTCCCTCTTTTGGTCTCATGTTCTAAGTGCTCCGCACTTGTAGTGACTTGTTTCTAGCTGTCAAGGTCATCTGTTCATCAACGAAAGACATGGTGAACTTGACCACAATAAAGGAAAAGGTGGAAGTGTTGACTGACTGACGAGCAGAGAAGCATACTTTCATGGCCAGTTTTCAGTGCAAGAGACTAGGTGTCACGTACGTGTGAATGCAAGAAATCGGCCCACATAAACGTCCACGTCAAAGTTGATGAAAATTTCAAAACAACAGAGTGCTTGTCTACCCGGACAGTCCCTGCAGAGGGAAGTGGGGCAGCGGGGGCGGGGAGACTCACTTTCTTCCTCCTCTCCCCTCTCCTGTTTCCTTCCCCAGCCCTCAGGCTCTGCTCTGATGGGCCAGGCATGTCTTTAAACATAGTATCCTTGTGAAATCCAAGTGCTTGTGTGGAGAGGTTTTCAAATTTGTTTAAATTATCTGATGCTATAAACCTTGTTTGGTGTTTTACCTTTTTCACATAAGGTTTTGTTTTTAAAGGGAGATTTACTTTCTAGTGACTGTTTTGTACTATGTAAATTTTTTTTTTTTTTTACCATCTGTATAGATTATACTTTCAAAAAGAAAAACGAAGATTCAAAATAAATTAAAAGTTGACGTACGTAAATAAAAATCTAGACCCACTGGTCCTCCTTGGCCCACTTTCTCCCAAAACGCTCACTTCCTAACCTCCACCAGTGGCACCTCCCCCCAGGACCCAGGGTCATTGAGGGGGGTGAGCACTCGAGGGGCACTTACAAGCCTCCGGGCAGCAGCACTTGTCCGGGCAGCAGGGGCACCTGACGTAACAGCAGCAGGTGTGTGGGCAGCACTGACACCAGCAGATGCCCAGGAGGAGGAAGACAAGGAAGACAGCCAGGCAGACAACCACCACGAAGAGCCAGTCTGCAGAGAGATGGGAACAGGCCCTGAGCCAGGAGGCCGGGCGGGAACAGGGACACAGGCACAGGAGGGCAGTGCAGAGCCGGGTGGGGCGAAGCTACTTGCGAAGCTCGTCGGGGGAGCTGCAGCCCCGGCTGGAGTCTCCACGCCAGAAGCTGGGGCGCAGCAGCAGAGGGATGCCTACTCCTCTACAACCCAGGCCAGTCCCAAAGGAACCCCCCAGGGCGCATCGGGACAAGGCAGAAGAGGAGAGGTGACCTGGCCAGAGCAGACAGGCTGTAGCCTCAGAGAGGGCTAGAGAGCAAGCTGCCCAACAAACCCCAGGAGAGGACGACAGGTACCAGTCACAGGAGCCTCCTGCCTGCACCCAGGCCCATGCTCAGCCATCCCTGCCCACCCAAGGCCCAGGGCCAGGTCACTAGATGCCAGGAGTTGGAGTCAGACAAGGTTAGTGAGGGTCCACAGCGAGCGGTATTTAGGGTGGGAGAGAAAACTTAGAAGACGTAAGTGGTGTGGGGGGGCTCCACCCCCGTACCTTCCATGGGCCCCGCCTGAAAACCAGGTAAGAGCTCAGCCACCCCCGAGGTCCTGCCTGGAGGGACAAAAGAGAGACATATTATGCTGGCAAGGGCCAGCCCAGGCTGCCCCTCCCTAGAAGCCCAGCTCCAGGCTTATCAGGGCGGAGGTCCGCCCTACATCAGAGGACGGGCTGGTGGCCTAGGAGGGTCAGAGCCCATGGTTCCTGCCCTCCACCCCATCCCCCACCCACATGGGTGCTATTTTCCAGAAGGCTTCCATCAGGTAAGTGACCCTCTCTCATGCCTCGGGATTCTATTGTCCAGAAGGGTCCCAGTACATGTCCCGTGGGTTCTGAAGGTGAGACCTCAGGTTGAGCACTGAGTCTTTCCTACTGCCCCAAAGGGTTGCATCCCATGTGATAAGGACAGTCCCGTGTCACCAGGCGTAGTAGGCACAGTGTCCTAGGGCCCTTGAAAATGTTTTACACTCAGGAGAAAAAATATAGTAATACCAAATATACAATAACAAGTTGTCTTTATAGCAAGGTAATCATAAAAAATATATATATTTTATATACATATACATATACATATATATATATATATATATTTCTTTTTTAGTGCAGAGGAAGAGGCCCATGAAGGCAAAAGTGCCTGCAGCCCCTGAAGTCATAGCCTGGCTGGTGCCTTCCCTTGGGCGCCATGGTCGCTGTGCACCCACAAGCATACCGCAGGGACATCCGCACACCCAGCCCTCCACCGACACCTCTACCCAGAGCTCATGCACTCCGTGCCACGTGCCCCATCGAGGGGCTTCCACCGTCTACACCAGCAGTTCTCAAAGTGTGGTCCTGTCCCCAGACTAATGTTCACAATGACACTAAGCCATTGTTTGCCTTTTTCACTCTTGTTCTGTCATGTGTGTACAGTGGAGCTTTCCAGAGGCTCTGTGACATGCGATGACGTAGATCATCGCTTTGATGGTGATGAATTGTGTCCTTGGTTACCCTGCTTTAAAACGTTTCTGGTTCCGCCCTGGCCGGTTTGGCTCAGCGGTTAGAGTATCGGCCCGCAGACCAATGAGTCGCAGGTTCGATTCCGGTCAAGGGCATGTACCTCGGCTGCAGTTTGTCCCCGGCCTTGGTCGGGTCGTGCAGGAGGCAACCAGTCAATGTGTCTATCACGTCAATGTTTCTCTCTCTCTCCCTCCTTCCCACTCTATCTGATAATAAGTTGAAAAATACCCTCAGGTGAGGAATTTAAAAAAATAAAAGGTTTCTGGTTTCAATTCCTTCGATGTTAACCAACTATTGATAGAACCCACAAAAAAGTTAAAAACTCTTTTGAGCTCCTCGGTACTTTGTCAGAACATAAGGAAGTCCTGAGACTGCATTTTGAAAACGGCCAATGCAGACTGCATTTTACCAAAGGACACGCAGAGGTGCTCTGTCACTGGGGCATGCATTCTGCTGCCCACAGGTGGATCTGAGCGCCCTGGAGCATGCCCATCATGTGTGCTTACTCACACATGCGTTTCCTGGCATCATGCGTGCAATGATGGCAGTGTATGGCCCGGTAGCATCTCACATACAGCACGTCACACGAGGCTGTATGTGTTGGCTGAGACTGGAGCATCTGGCTAATGGCCACATTCCTCCACATATGGCAGGGGGACCTCATGGCCAGACAGGGGCTGCTGGTGGCTACCCTACCCTGTCCCTGGCCTGAAAGGAACACTCACTGTATTAAGCCACAAACACCATCCCAGCATGGCAAAGGGCCAGGTCCCTGTGCTCTGGTCAGGGCCTATGGGGTCAGATGTAACCCTGGAGATGTGACAAAAGGTGGGTCCAGCTCCCTCTCAATTATATACACCATCAACCCCCCTCACTCACAGCCAATCATCTCTAAACATTTCTGAATTCTTAAGAAATGAGACGAGAGGAGGTCGCGTTCCCAATTCTCTCCACTCTTAGTTTGGTTTTGGCTTAACTTGAAAGGTGGGGGGAGGAGTCGCTGCCTGGGGTGCAGGGTACAGATAAGCCCAAGTGACTGGTAGGTGAGGGGGAGCAAAGCAGGCGACAGAGCCCAGAGAGTAAGCTGGAACGCACCACAGAAGTGAGAGAAGAGGCCCCCTGTCCCCCCCCAGGCCCTCAGGGCCCAGCCCACTCACCCAGGACGATGAGCTCCGCATAGGCTTCGTTGTTCCCCTGGAGGTCCTGGGCCGAGACCACAGAGCAGTAATACACACCACTGTCCCCCCAGGCCGTCTGGTCAAAGGTCAGGTCAGCATCTGTACGGGAAGAGTGTGAAGCCACTGCAGAGGCTGAAGGCTACCCCCTTGGGGACGTCAGGGGAGGGGGCAAGGGAACAGGGCTCAGATGCACTGCGTGGCAGTGAAATAATCCACACCAGGCAGGGCTCGCTCGTAGGCTCTGTATTAAACATCTGACTTGGAGTATTTCAATAATCTGCGAGGTGGGCAGTGTTACCTTTCCTGGTTTATGGATGAGATGACCAGACCCGCCCAATGTCCAGCTCATCTGTGGTCTTGACTCCAGAGCCAGCACTTCAGACTTATAACCATTTTCTGTAACCACCTCTCAAAGCAAAAGTCACCTCCCCCAACATGGACTACCAGGGAGCCGGCTGTAGCCCAGGGTGTGGGTCCAGGGCAAAGAGGCAGGGGTAAGTAGCTCAGGTTCCAAGAGTACGGGTATGCGCAGGCACGAGAAAGGGGGGCGCGCGCGCATGTGCGAAGAAGAAAGCCGGACCGTCCCAGCTCCCTAACCCATCCACTCGTCATCAGCCCCACTGTCCAGGTCAGGCGCAGGGCTTGGGGACGCTCAGGTCTGAAGCTGCCCCAGGCAGGGAGCCTGTTAATTACACCAGTAATGAAAGTCTGTTTCCTCTCTATTCCCCAGCCCCTAATTAGTGAAATCCCTCCAGCCAGGGTGGGACAGGGTGGGACCCAGTGGGCAACTCCGCCTGAGGCCCATGAAGGACAGAAGATGGGAACACCCCCAGAGCCACCAGTTTCTCCCCAGAAGCTCTGGCCCTCCGGCCCCTGCTGACCTGCCTACCGCCGTGCCCCATGTACCCACTGCCCTTCTCCATGACAGCCGAGGGCAGCACCCGAGTTGCCCCGGTCTGCAGCACCTGGCACCCACCAGAGCATCAGCCAATTGCCAAAGAAATGAAAGAACCGGAGCCTTCCTCCTTTGGAAGATCTCACATCCACAGAAAAACCCTCCTTTCAACAATGTCTACCTCCACCACTCCAAAAGCCTTACCTGGCTGCCACAAGGCCCTTGGCATGATCTGGCTACCTACCAGTTACACCAGCCTCGTCCCCGCCACTCACCCCCACTCACTAGCCCCTGGACACTCTGGCCTCCTCACTGAGCCCCAACACGCTGGGCCCACACCTGCCTCGACTCGCGCTCGCGCTAATACTTCTGCCTGGCACTGGGTTCTCAGACCCTCACAGGGCTGGTTCCATCCTGCGCGATGGTCCCCACCCCACTGCTAAATTACATCAGCCGGTTTAAGGGCTGACACCCCTGATCCTACCCAGGAGAATGTGGGCTCCATGCAAGCAGAACCTGGTCAGTCTCAGTGACTGCTGAGTCCCCAGGGCCTGGCCAGGACCCAGAAATGAACCCCTTCCCTCCTCTCATTGACCTCCCTTAGCTTTTGTAGTCTGTTCAGCATTCTAGACATGTGGCTTTATTCAAATAGGCCCTTGATACTGTCAATATTCACATACTACTGAAAGCATCCTATGTTCTGAGGCAAGTGTACTCAGGAGCAACAGTTACCAAAGTGCAATCCGTGGATCCTGGGGTTCCCCAAAACCTCTTCAGAGGATCTCAGAGATCAAAATTACTTGCATAATACTAAGATGTTATTTATCTTTTCACTTAATCTCTGAAGGTACTGTGGAGTTTTCCAGAGGCTACATGACATGTACTGTCACAATTTCTACTCAGCTGGACTTCAAGGAGATGAGCAAAAAGATAAAGCAATGAGCCCTGACCGGTTTGGCTCAGCAGTTAGAGCGACAGGCTGTGGATCAAAGAGCCGCGGGTTCAATTCCAGTCAAGGGCACGCACCTCGGTCGTGGTTCAATCGGGAGGCAACCAATCGGCATGTCTCTCTTTTTTCTCTCTCCCTCTCTCTCACTCTATCTGCAAATCAATGGAAAAATATCCTTGGGTGAGGATTTAAAAAAAAAAAAAAAAAAAAGGATATGGCAACAGTGTAGTTTTCATTAAAGTTTTTTGTTTTGTTTTGGAAAATATGGTAACATTTTCATTAAAAGTATGTTATCCAGCCCTGGCCGGATAGAGCGTCGGACTGCGGTACAGAGAGACCCGGGTTCGGTTCCCGCTAAAGGGCACGTACTTCGGTTGCAGTTTGTCCCCGGCCCTGGTTGGTCGTGCGGGTGGCAGCCACTCGATGTGTCCCTTTCACGTCGATGTTTCTCTCTCTCTCCCTCCCACTCTATCTGAACAAAATATGGAAAAAATGTCCTCGTGTGAGGATTTAAAAATAAATAAATAAAAGTATGTTATCCATACTAACCTATAAAGAGTTTATCACTGTCACTTAAAATATTATTATTATTATCCTCACCTGAGGACATTTTTTTGCACTTATCTTCAGATAGAGCGGGAGGGAGAGAGGGAGGGAGAGAGAGAGAAACATCAATGTGAGAGAGACACATCAACTGGCTGCCACCCACACGACCCCAATAGGGGCCAGGGAAAAACTGCAACCGAGGTATGTGCCCTTAGCGGGAACTGAACCCAGGACTCTCTGTTCTGTGGGCCAACACTCTAACCACTGAGCAAAACTGGTCAGGGCTAAAATATTTCTAGAAACTTCTGTTTGCTAGCTATATAAACAAAGTACTTTGAGGACCTCAGTAATTAAGAGTGTAGAGGCCCAGCCCAGCAGGTGTGGCTCAGTGGTTGAGCATCATTCCCCGTCGGAGCACATGCCTGGGTTGCATGCAGGAGGCAGCCGATTGATGTTTATCTCTCATTAATGTTTCTCTCTCTCTCTCCCTCTCCCTTCCTCTCTCTGAAATCAATTTTTTTAAAAAAAATTAAGAAAAAAGGAGTCTAGGGGCCCTAAGACTAACTTTGAGAAGCACTGCTATGACCACAGATATAAACCCCTGCCCACAGAACAGACCTTGACTAGGAAAGACAAGTAGAACATGTACATATATGGCACATCAGGTTGTGGTAAGCAGTATCGATAGAGAAAAACAATCAGGGAGGGCAGACAGAAAGTGCCAGTGTAGACGTGGGGGTTGGGCAAGTTAAAGTAGTCGGGTGAAATGAAGCAGTGGGGGGCACGACGCCTCTCCATGGTCACATGTCTAGCCACCAATTACTGAGTTCTTACCGTGTGCTGGGTCCCTTTGCACGTATTCTTTCAAGGAATCCTCATCAAACTCTTAACTACATTCTCCCAAACCCTCTGAACTCTCCAGAACACCATCGCTTTCCCACCCTATCTTTAAACCAGACTCTGAGCACTCCTGTCCAAAACCAGAGTTCAAGGGCAGGCCCCTGCCCAAGGGCGAGAGGTGAGCAGGAACCGCTGCCAGAGCGAGAGTTTACGGGCCAGGAACTGAAATCTGGGCTCCCGGGGCCCGGACCCAGGCCTCAATGTGTTTTGTTTGGCCTGCATGATGTTTCCAAAACCCAGGAAAAATATGGATTTCCAGCTTCTTTTGATGAATTCTAAGGCCTGGGCCCACCTCCTTCCTGCAGGGCACACCCTGCTCCCAGTCTGTCCTGGGTCTGGTCCTGACACATGGGCTGGGCGTGGCCCTACCTGTGTCGGGTTCAGGGAGCAGATACAAGTACCCGGTTGGAAACAGAAGCTGGGCCTCCGGTTCCGTATCCTCACACTGCAGAGGCGGCCCTCACAATCTCGGGGATCCCATGGGCTCTCTGGTCGTGTTACTGAGTTGGGGGGGGTGAGCACATGGACCCCAAATAGCCTGAGGAGGTAGAAACAGGACTCCTATCCAGACACCCGTCACCCAAAGCAGGGAGGAAAGGAAGGGGTACGGGCCCCACCCAGCTGAGGGACTCAGGGTGAAGCACCATTTCAGTTTGCCCAGAACTACTTTCACTTCAAACCTGACACTGGAGACGGCGGAACACCCCTGGGAAGTCCACTTTTCCCCACTCTCTGGGCTGAAAGGGAGGAAGCCCCCATGGCTACTGGGTTTCCTGAGAGGACGTCCATACAATGGATGCTCACATCTGGTATCAAAGCAGGCCCAGATCAAGGCAGCTTGGAAGACCTGGGCCTGGGAGGCCCCCGGAGCATGAAGAATCTGCCCCCGCTGCGGCCCGAGGGTCACTCTGCAGCCCTGGACTCAGAGGGGCTCTTTGGCCAGTCTCCAAGGGCCCTCTTAACACCTGGGCTGTCCTAGGGCTGCCAGTCAGCCAAGGCTGGTCCAGGCAGGAGAGGTCCCTGGGATATGGGGGAGGGGCCAGGACAGGTTGGCCCCTAAAGAAGCCCTTTGTCCTCAAGAACAGCTGAGCTGCCCGTGGGAATTCAGGGCAGGTCGGTCTGGTTCCTCCTCGAAAGAGGACTGTCAGGCTCAGTGTTTCATCCATGGTCTAGACAGAGTGAGGAAGGGGTGTGCCCAGGCCCTGGTCTCTTGGGGTCTGCAAAGGGACCCTCCTTTTGCCCCTCTACCCCCATGCCCAAGATTGAAGCCCTAATCTCGTTTAAGACAGTGAAAGGATAAATCCATGAAGTGGTGCCCATCACCTTCCTCTCTGCCTGCTGGATTCTTGAGGACCCGGTCCCAGTCCCTCCGCAGAGCTTTGCAGAGGTCTTGAGGTGCATACCCGAGTCACTCCATTCGGCACATCACCCAGGTCTGTTCGTCTGTAGCACTTAGTGCTCTCTAACATTCTCTGACTCTTTCTGTTTACTGCCTACCTCCCCCATCAGCCTGTCACCTCCTTGAGGGCAGGTATATCAGACGTCCTGATCACCACTCCATCCCCAATGCCTAGCACTTAGATAATGCTCGGTAAATACCAACTGAATGGATAAATGAATGAACAACTTCCTCACTGAGGTTATGAACAAGGGCTCTCAGGGCTGCCTGGGTTCACATCCCAGCTCCAGCTCTGTGCACCTGGACGACCTACTTCTTAACCTCTCTGTGCCTGTTTTCAAGTGGAACGTGTGGACATGAGGACTCAGTGGGAGTGTGTGTAAAGCGCCTGGCAAATCACAGACTTTCTCCATTAAAATCTCTCACCCCACCCTGGCTAAGCAAAGGAGTTACCAGCTTATAGACTAGACCCAAAGTGGCTGGTCTAGAATCCCAGCTGTTGCCAGCTGTGTGACCCTACACAAGTCATTTTGCCTCTCTGGGCCTCTGTAAAATGACAATGACAGAATTTACTCACACAATTACTGTGTGGTCTAAATGAGTTAAGCCACTTAACCTGGACTAGAGCCTGGCACACAGGAGGTCCTTTGTACGTGGTTACAGAAATTTTACTTAATACTGTTGGTAGTATTAGTATTCTAGAACGCCTGCCTCTCTCTCCATTCCCCGCTCTTCTTCATTTCCAAGAAGATATATGTTATCTTATCTCCTTCACTGGGTTGCAAGCTCCACGAGGGAAAGGATTTGATCACTTTCTTTACTGCTGTATTGCCAGGGCCTCAAACAACACCTGGTATGTGTTAGGTGCTCAATAAATCTTTGCTGTTAAATAAAGGAATGGATGGATGGACAGAAGGATCGTCTTTCTGTCAGTCATTTCAGACACTGGCACAGAGGAGCTTCCAGGTGGCAGACAAGGAGCCTGAACAAGCTGTCTGCAACCCCATCATCCCTTGCCTTCTCCCTTGCCCCACCCGACATACTTCCTGTTATGGTGATCCTCCGGCCCTGGTAGTAGTCTCCCAGGGTCACAGCATTGCCCTGCTTGGTGGCCACAACCCTGACGGTGCGCACGCTGTCCTGGCACTCCACATAGGGGTTATAACCCGGGTTACCAGCCGCCAGCTGGGCATTGAGTTGGTTGTCAACACTGGCTGGAGAAAAGGCATCAGCGACGCGGTCCCGGCAGAAAGACTTGTACTTCCAGATCACAATGGGTGCCGTGGGTGTCGTGGTCAATTGGTAGGTGCAGGGCAGGGTCACCGGCTGGAAGAGGATCACCACGTGGTAGGGGTCTGACACAGTCACCTGGATGGCACTGGTAGGAGCTGAGGGCAAGAGAAGAGTCGGTAGGGACCACTATAAACTCTGGAAAGTGCTTCAGCAGAAATGAGCAACATCACTTGTCACCAACTTGACACTTACAAGTATATGGTTTTTCAGAGAGCCTGGCTCACATTGTTCCTTAATCCCCAGGACTGGTGAGGCAGCTCTGATAATCATGCCCATTTTATAGACCCACAGGGCCGAAGTTGCAGGTGCAAGGTCAGACAGCCAGATTTCTTGGAACATCCTGTCCAACTCTCTTCCCAGAGTGTGTCCTCTGAACCACCCCAGCCCCCTCTCCCCTTGGCCATTTTCTCACAGAAGGGGCTCCTCTCTGTGGACTTACACAGGCAAGCCTGAATGGCCACACCACAGTGCTGGAGGCCACACTTCAAAAACCACCACCATTGTTTCAAATTACCCCCACTTTTGTGGATTGGAGGGTTCCTTTTGGAACTGTTTGAACTGCTTTGTCATGGAGTAATCAAAGCCCCACAATGTCTCCATCAGCGTCCCACCTCACCCTACTCAAAGCCATCTCAAATAAACACGCCAAAAGTGATCGCAGAAAGATAAAACTCCCCCACCCCTCACCCAAACAAACATCTGATCCAGTGAAAGCTTCCAGCAGAAGATGGTTTCAAACCAAGTTCAGAAGTCCATCCCATCAGACCCTTACACACTGATACTTTGGAGTCTAAGGGACATGGGTGGGGAGTCCCCAATCCCACACCCACCGGGGGCCTGGGCACTGTTTCTTGATCTCTCCCTCCAGGATGTGTCTGATCTAGCCCTCGAGTGCCCGATCCCCGTTTCCCCAGGATTTAGAAATGTCCCAGCCTTTCCTAGTGATCAGGTGGTCCCTTCAGCCCTGCCCTACAAAGAGTTCTATTCTCCTGGCCGCTCCAGGGTTTTCGATCCCGGAGTTTCACTTCCTGCTATCTCTGAACAAGGGCGGGTGAGCGCTTCCAGCGAATGAAGGAATTCCCCTCACACTGGCACACGAGGGATCTCCCGAGACCCTGTGGGTCGGCAGGTCCTGGTCTTTCCGATCCCCTCCCCCCACTCTCCTGCCTCCTCCGCGGTGTCGAACTTCATCCATCCCCTTCTGTAATGCCCTCGCGCCCTTCCGCGGCACCAGGGGCCCCGCTCTCCGTACCTGTGCACCAAGTGCCGAGAAAGAGCCACACGAAGACGGCCGCGCCCCAACCCGGAGGGCCCGGGTAGAAGCCCAGCACCTCGGTCAGCCGGCGGCCAACGGGCGCCATCGCGGCGGTCCCGGCTATTCTGGACCTCGCGTCCCCTGCTGGGTACTCCGAGGGTAGGGGGCGCGGCGCGCACCAAGGCAGGGAGGGGTGCATGCTCCTCCCCTTCGCAGTTCCGTTCTTTGTCCCTATTCCAAGCCCACTCTGCCCTGTTCTAGGATTTTAATAAGCGGAAACAACGTGGATGAAGAACGCTTCCAGCTTTCGGGGAGAAACTGCTTGACTCACTGTGGTTCTCCCAGTCACTCCACCCCCTGCGCGCTCTGGGGAATGGACCGGCCCAGGTACACAGGGCGAGAACGGAGGGCTGGGCAAAGGGGTGGGCGGCGGAAGGGGCTCCTCCACCTCCCCGCCCGGAAGTGGGCTGGCCCAGGTGCGCTCCGGCCCCTAGGGTCGGAACCAAGTGACCAGCCCGCTGGGAGGGCGCCTATAGAGCTGGGATCCCGACTGGACGCCTCCTGCTGGTGCCAAGCCGAGCAGAGTGTGACTCACGAGAACTGAGACTCAACTGGGGTGATTCACCTGTTGAGGGGGGCGGGATACGTGCTCACCTGTTCCCTCTCGCCCCTCTCCCAGGCCAGCGATGGGCCCGCCCAGATACACCCTCCGGGGGCGGGGCGAGTCAAGCCGAGCTTGGGGCGGAGAGGGGCTTGTCTCTAGCGCCTGGCTTCTCCACTAATCTTGGGGACCTTCCTGTCCTAGTGGAGGAGGCGCTGTGGGAATCATGTGTCTTTCACTTAATTTTTTTTAAATTGACTTTAGAGAGAGAAATAAATAACATGGGTTTATTGTTCCACTTATTTATGCATTCTTTGGTTGATTCTTATTTGTGTCCCGACGGGATCAAACTGAAACCTTGGCAAACGGGGAGGATGCCCTAACCAACTGACTTCCCCTGCCACAGCCTTGTCTTTCACTTAGATGCCTTTAAAATAAAACAACCAAGTTAAGTTTCTGGAAAACATGCTCTGCCCCCTTTGGGAAGCTCAAGGGGAATCAGGCCCAGGAAAAGTTGGAATTCTACTTCCGAAGTTTTCTCCACCTCCCTTCATTCCCATTTTTTGGTTTGGCCCCCAGGCATCCCTTGCCCTAGGTCATGCCTCGGGAGACCCTGGCTATTAAAGGGGCCCAGCGGAGGCGCAGGACTAAAGACGGTTTTCGGCTAATATTCCCCAGGACTGGACCAACCTGCGCGCTAGACGGGGAGGGCGGAGGCCACCAGAACGCGGGCGCTCAGCGCCGTTCTGCTGCCCCACGATGGTGGATAGGGGCAGTGCGTCCTGGGAACGCTGCGCTTCCTACTAGATTCTCTGGAGGTCGCAAACTGCCCACTCTGGCTAGCCGGTTGAATAATCAGGATAGTTTGTTTTCATGTTAAAATTCAAGTAGGTACCTGTACCTCTGCTCAAAACCTTTCTGTGGCTCCCCGTCCCAGCAGAAACCAAAATACTTACCTGTGGTCTGCTCCCTCTCTGACCTCCCCTGACTCAGTCATCCTGGCCTCCCTTGTTCCCTGGAATGTGCCTCTCAAACCCTCACTTCAGGCCCATTGCCCTTACTACTCCCTCTGCTGGGACACCCTTAGGGAAGGTGGCCACATGACCCTCCACCTCCTTTAGGGCTTCACTGCAAGGGTCCCTTTGCAGTGACATCTCCCCTGGGCACTTTCTATGAAATTTCAACATCCCTCCCCAACTTTCACATAATTTCTTTTTTTTTTTTAAAGCATGTATATATTGATTTTTTAAGAGAGAGATAGAAACATGGATGTGAGAGAAAAACATCAACGGTCTGCCTCCTGCACACCCCCCACTAGGGCATCGTGCCCTGACCAGGAATGAAGAAGGACCTCTCAGGCCATGGCACAATGCTCAATCCACTGAGCCACACTGGCCCGGTTCTCCTTGTGATTTTAATTTGCATTTCTCTAAAGATTAGTGATGTCGCCCTGGCCGGTTTGGCTCAGCGGTTAGAGCGTCGGCCTGCGGTCCGGAGAGACCCGGGTTCGGTTCCCGCTAAGGGCACGTACCTCAGTTGCAGCTTGTCCCGGCCCTGGTTGGGTTGTGTGGGTGGCAACCACTCGATGTGTCCCTTTCATGTCAATGTTTCTCTCTCTCTCTCTCTCCCTCTCCCCCTCCCACTCTATCTGAACAAAATATGGAAAAATGTCCTCGGGTGAGGATAAAAAAAATAAAAAATAAATAAATAAATAAAGATTAGTGATGTTGAGCACCTTTTCATATGTCTATTGGCCATCTGTATGTCCTCTTTGGAGAAGTGTCTATTCAAGTTCTTTGCCCTTATTTTTTTGGTTAATCCTCACTCAAGGATATATATATATATTTTTATCCTCATCCGAGGACATTTTTTCCATTTTTTGTACAGACAGAGTGGGAGGGAGAGAGAGGAAGAGAGAGAGAGGGAAACATCGATGTGAAAGGGACACATCGAGTGGCTGCCACCCGCACAACCCAACCAGGACCGGGGACAAACTGCAACCGAGGTACGTGCTCTTAGCGGGAACCGAACCCAGGTCTCCAGACCGCGGGCGGACGCTCTAACCACTGAGCCAAACCGGCCAGGGCAAGGATATTTTTTTTTTCATTTATTTTTAGAGAGAGTGGAAAAAAGGGAGAGAGAAAAAGACAAACACTGATGTTAGAGAGACAGACATTGATTGTTTGCCTCCCCCACGACCTCTGGGCTCTAACCATTGAGAAAACCGGCCAGGGCCTTTGCTCATTTTTTAATTGGATTGTTTGTTTTCTTAGTGTTGAGTTATATAAGTTCTTCATAAATTTTGGAAATTAAGCTCTTATTAGATGTACCATTGGCAAATATGTTCTCTCATTCAGTGAGTTGTCTTTCATTTTGTTGATGGTTTTCTTTGCTGTGCTAAAGCTTTTGATGTAGTCCTATTTGTTTATTTTTCTTTTGTTTCCCTAGTCCGAGGAGATATACGAGAAAAAAAATATTGCTACAAGAATGTCTGAGATTTTACTGCCTATGTTTTCTTCTAGGATTTGTATGGTTTCAAATCTAACTTGTAAGTCTTTAATCCATCTTGAGTTTATTCTTGTGTGCAGTGTAAGAAGGTGGTCTAGTTTTATTTTTTTGCACATATCTGTTCAATAATCCTAACACGATTTATCGAATAAACTATCTTTAGCCCATTGTAGGTTTTTGCCCCTTCTGTCAAATATTATTTGACTATAAAGGCATGGGTTTATTTCTGGGTTCTTATTCTGTTCCATTGATCTATATGTCTGTTTTTATGCCAGTGCCATGCTGTTTTGATTACTATGGCCTTGTAGCATAGTTTGATTTCTGGTAGCATGATTCCTCCAATTTTATTCTTCTTTCTTAAGATTGTTGTTGCTATACATGCCCTTGACAGGGAATCAAATCTGCAATCGACCCTTCGGTACATGGCCAATGCTCTAACCACTGAGCAAACACCAGCTGGGGCTATATATATGTTTTATCTGTCTTTTCCACTAGAAGGTAGGATCAAGGAGGGCAGAGGCTTTGTCTAACCTGTTCACTTCTGTGATTAGAATAATGGCCAGCATATGGTACGCATTCAGTAAACATTTGTGAAATGGGTGACTGAAGGAAGATCAAGCCTGCGCAATAATTATTTTAAATTTCAGAACTAAGAAGAAGTTTAGGAAAGAGTTTGGGAAGGGGGAAATCTGAAAAATATTTATTTGTTTAAAATAAATTGAGACTCAAATCCTTCCATAACCACATCAAAATTATAACTAAACTAAAGAACAATCATTCAGAACCACCTGAAATCTAGCTGAATTGAGGTCCTACAACTAGGGATTTAAAGAAGCCACAGCTAGACTGGTAGGAGGGGCAGAGACATAGACCGGGCTGGTCTCACACCCGGTTGTCTGGCAGATAAAGATCAGGAATATCTCTGCTGCGGAGGTCTGCCCTGAGGAGTGAAGGGTCCCAGCCCCACTAGGGTTCCAGTGCCAGGAAGACAAGTTCCCATATTTTCTAGCTGTAAAAACCAGCAGGGAGTGTGGCTGAGTGAGACAGTTGCTTCTGGAGTCCCAGGCAGTTCCCCTTAAAGGGCCCTCACATGGACTTACTTGGAATCACTCCCTCTGAGCTCCAGCACTGGGCAACAGCTCAAAAGGCACCAGGGACATATGGAGAGGAATTGAACTGTCTGGCATCAGGGTGAGAACTGGAGGGGCAACTTTCTGCCAGATAAAAGTGCTGGCAGAGGCTGTTGTTCCTTTTCTGAGACCCACCCCCAACAGAGCCAGCAAGCCAGAGCCAGCAGGCAAGTGCCATATGTCAGTCTCCATGAACCTGATTCACACTGTTCAGCTCACCCTGATGATACCCTGAGACCCTACCCCACCCATCTTACAGGCCTATCCAAGCTGTTTTCACTGGCTTTTCCACACAAACTGCCTGTCTTGGCTCATGCTGCAGACTTTCCTAAAATCTCTCAAAGGTTCACAAATTACAAACAAGCAGCATCTGGTCTTGGCATGCCCTGTACATCTTGCTAAGTGGCCTCAGGCCCAGCACTAGCAACAGCCAGCCTTGGTTTGCAGCTTGGCTTCTCCTGGGCATCTCCAAGCCCAGCACAAGTACTAGCCACCTGCAGGTCACTCTGTAGCTCATGCTGGGTTGCCTCAGGCAAGCATGCAATGGCTGACCTTGCATCTCCTAGGAGGCCCCAGAGCCAGTGCACCTGATGGACAGCTTCAGACCATGCCAGATTACAACCCTACCACCTCCATGAGTGACACACTCACAGGGCAGACTCGGCAAGCACCAAAGCCCCACTGAAGCAAGTCCTGTTTCATAGGATCAGCTCCTGCACAGCAGCTTCTCCATTGTAGTCACAGCCAGTCCTTGCAGCTGATTGGCCTGGGGGTCAGTTCCTCCCAGTGATGTCAACAGCAATCAATTCTCAACTACAACAGGACAGTGCACACAGCTCACACAGAGGTGTACCTGGAGCACCCAGCTTGAGTGACTGGAGAGGTTGTGCCACTGGGCCCTACAGGACACCTACTACACAAGGCCACTCTACCAAGACTAGGAAATATAGCAGCTCTACCTAATACATAGAAACAAATTTAGGGAAACAGCCAAATGTGGAGACAAAGGAACAGGTCTCATATGAAAGAACATGAGAAATCTCCAGAAAAAGAACTAAATGAAATAGAAGCAAGCAAACTAACAGATACAGAGTTCAAAACAATGGTTATAAGGATGCTCAAGGAATTTAGTGAGAACTTCAACAACATGAAAAAGGACATAGGAACCATAAAAAAGAATCAGTCAGAAATGAAGGATACACTAACTGAAATGAAGAATAATTTAAAGAGACTCAATAGTAGAGTAAATGAAGCTGAGAATCAAGTCAGCAATTTGAAATATAAGGAAACAAAAAACACCCAATCAGAATAGCAAGAAGAAAAAGGAATCCAAAAAAATGAAGATAGTATAAGGAGCCTCTGGGACAACTTTGAGTGTACCAACATTTGCATCATGGGAGTGTCAGAAGAAGAAAAGCTAGAGTAAGAAAATTGAAGACATATTTGAAAAATAGTGACAGAAAACTTCCCTAACCTGATAAAGAAAATAGACATACAAGTCCAAGAAGTTCAGAGAGTCCCAAACGAGATGAACCCAAAGAGACCCACACCAAGACACATCATAATTAAAATGCCAAACATTAAAGACAAAGGGAGAATCTTAAAAGCAGCAAGAGAAAAGCAGTTAGTTACCTACAAGGTAGCTCTCATAAGATTGTCAGTTGATTTCTCAACAGAAACTTTGAAGGCCAGAAGGAAGTGGCAAGAAATATTCAAAGTGATGAAAAGCAAGGACCTCCAACCAAAATTACTCTACCCAGCAAAACTATCATTTAGAATCAAATGACTGACAAAGAGCCTCTCAGACAAGAAAAAGCTAAAGGAGTTCACCACCACAAAACCAGTATTATATGAAATGTTAAAGGGTCTTTTTTAAGAAGAAAAAAAGATTATAAATATGAACAATAAAATGGCAATAAATACATATCTATCAACAATTTAATCTAAGAAAACAAACTAACCTAACAAGCAGAACAGAAACAGACACAGATACAGAGAACACTTTGATGGTTGCCAGATGGGAAGGGGGGTGGAGGGATGGGTGAAAAAGGTGAAGTACAAAATTAATTAAGAAGTACAAAATGGTTGTTAAAGAATAGTCATGGGGATGTAAAGTACAGCATAGGCAATGTAGTCAATAATATTCTAATAACTATGTATGGTGTCACATGGGTAAAAGACTTATCGGAATGATCACTTAGTAAGTTATATAATGTCAAATCACTGAGGTGTACACCTGAAACTAATATAATATTGTATGTCAACTGTAATTGAAAAATAAAAAATGATTAAATGGCAAAAAAAAGAGCTAAAATGAATTGGGTCATACAGATATCTGTGGGAAGAGCCAAAGACTAGCATGTGCAAAGGTCCTGAGGCAGGAGCCCTTTGCTTTGTGTTCAGGGAGATCAGCATGGCTGGAGGGGTTAGTGGGGAAGGTAGGAGTTCAGAATGGTAACCAGAAGATTTATTCATCTCTCCATCCCCAGTACTAAGAAGTCGTGCCCAGAACATAATAGGTGTTTAGGAAAAATGTGTTGAATGTTTACATATGACACTTTAATGCCAAAGCATGGAGGTGGTAGTGAAAATCCTGAATAGACAAATTAAGTTTCCTTGTATCCCAACAAAGTGGAAGGCTTGGAAGAGAAATGAAATAGGATTGCTAATTTGTTACAAAACAAATGGGGACTATGACCTTACACACCCATGGGGTGTACTCCAGTTCATTCTGCTGCCCAGGATTAAAGACTGAGCTTCATGGGTGACCTCACAATGTCTAGAGTGGTGCCCAGCCCACTGCCACAGTCCCAGGCCATCATGAGGACCATCTTGTGGCTGCTGCTCGGCTTTGCTGTCCCACTGCTGGTGTTCTCTGTCTCCATCACCTGTCCCCATGGCAAGAAATGCCAACTGGCCCTACTTTCCAAGACTGATGTCTTTCTGTACTGCAATTCCTCTGGGGCACAGTGGTTCGCCTACTTGCTGCAAAGTCAGACCAACTGGTCCAACAAACCCCTCGGTGCTTGGGACACAGAAATAATGCCTGAAGGCATTCTCCTCAGAAGTCCATTGCCATCCCAGACGGGCTACTACATCTGTTGGGACAAGAAAGGCAAGCTAGTGGTGCAGTATAAGATTGACTTCCAGGATGTTGACACCCTGCACATTACACACAGAGGCCTGGGCCAAAAGCCCTTGAAGAATGAGACGCTGACTCTAGGCAGCAAGGAGATCGTCTTCACCCACTGGGAGCCCTGGCAGGACTGTAACCACTGTGGGGAGCCCGGGGAGCGCAAACGCCTGGGGTACTGCTATATCCAGAATGCTCTGGGGAAACCTGTGCCCTGCTGGCTCTACCTGGGAAATTCTAGGCCACAGAACAGCCGCATGCGACCTGAGATGCAGATAGAAGCCTGCTATGTCCAGTGTAAAGCATTAACTGTGGAGAACATTATATTTGACAACTTCCAGCTCGATGAGGAATCAGAATTTGCGTGGCTCACCTGTCCCTTGGGATCCATCTATAGGTAATGGAAGCGTGCACCAGCCCTGCCCTTGGCCCCTCGCCAGGCTCTCGCAGTCTGGGAGGCTTCATGGTTAATCCGTGCAGAGAAGGAGGGGCTCTACATGGGTCAGCCCCACAGTCCCTCTGCACTGGCTTCTCCAGATGTTCCTTTGGCAAGAATCCCCTGGTGCCCACAGACTATTGCTTCACACAGGTAGAAGGACAGAACATACTCAGGGAGGGCTCAGCGGGCTGTGCCTGGCCCTGAGCTGGGCAATGCTGTGGATTTGGTAGTAGTCAGATTTCCCGCCCCCAGGAAGCCACCAGCACAGCAGTGAGGCAGCCCAGAGTGGTCAGGGATGGGAGAAGCCCAGGTGAGTGGAGGGGCTGTCCTGGGGGGATCCCACGAAGCTGTGGGGCTCAGAGGCCTCTGACTCATCTGAGAGGGTCAGCAGGCTCAGAGGGTCCACAGGAAAGGACAGCGCCCCAGGCAAGTCCCTGAGGGCCTGCCTCCTGCAGCTCACACTCATGTTCTTGTCTCTCCGCTTGGAGCTCCTGGGAAGCCTCCCCATTGGCCTCCTCTTCCCCGACCCACCTGCCCCTACCCCCATCATAAGAACAACAACCACTCATGGTTTCACTGGGGGCCGGTCCTGGGCAAACGCTCTTCTTCGAAAACCACACCCTCTCGCATCCCTCCTCCCTGGCCCCAGGAGCTGTGGACTCCAAGGAAGTCCATTTATAGATGGGGAGCTGCAGCTGGGGGAGAGACACTCCCTGCCCAAGGAGACTTGTGGTGGCAAGTGGCCGCGCAGACCCTTCATCTCAATACACCTTGGGGTCTCCTTGCCCTCTTTCCCCACGCCCTCCAGCGGCTACCCCTCCCTCGCAAGGGGTGAGTCCTTCCAACGTCTCGGGGCCCTTGCAGCTACGGGCTCTGTGGCATCAGGCCTCACCACCTCCTGCTTGTTTTCTTTCCCTTGCTTATTTCAGCTGTGGCTTCTATTTCTCTCTTTTCCTCATTCTCATATCATTTTGTCTCCTTTCCTCCTTTCTTCCTCCCCCTTTAAGTACAAAAGTAACACCTACTCCCTAAAAAATACCCCAGTTAACAGTGCACGAAGGTGCACTGTGAATCCCTCCTCCCATCTAGACTGGGACGCCTCCTCCCTGGCCTTTGCCAGACAAGGAGTTCCCGAGTGCCAGCCATTGGCAACTTGAGGGAAGAATCAGGAGACGTCACTGAGGCTTCGAGAAGTGCCCAGGTCTCTAGGGAGCCGAGTGGAGTGGCATATCATGTGAGGTTTTTGTCTCAAGCTCTGGGTTCAGCCAGGCTTGGGTTCCAGTCCCAGCTCTGCCATTCTCCAGCTGTGTGACTTTGGCCTGTGGCATCTCCTTAGGCCTCAGTGTCCCCATCTGTAGAATGGAGGTTGTATTCATTTGCTAGATCTGCTAATACAAAGCACCACAAACTGAGTGGCTTAAAGCAACAGGAATTTATTCTCTTACCGTTCTGAACACTAGACCTTTGAAGTCCAAAACCAAGCTGTCAGCAGGGCCACGCGCTGTCTGAAATGCTGGGTAGGATCCTTGCCTCTTCCTCGCTCCTCGTGGTGGCTAATGATCCTGGGCCTTTCTTGGTTTATAGCTGCATCGCTCTCGTCTCTGCCTCTGTCATCACTGGACATTAGCCCCATGTGTCTGTGCCTCTTCTCCTTTCTTTCTTTCTTTTTCCTTTTGAAAAGGGCTGGAGGGCACCCATGGGTCTGGAACTACCCTTGCTAGCAAGAGTGGTTGGCAAGTGAAGGCTTGACTCGAAGGAACCGCTGGGTGAGAGCCAGCCCACTTCTCCTTTTCTTACAAGGACACAGGTCATATTGGATTTGGGACCCAACCTACTGCAGTCTGACCTCGTCTTAACTAATTACATCTGCAATGACCTTGTGTCCAAATAAGGTCCCATTCTGAGGTCCCATTAGAACCTCACTATCCAACTCAGTACAGAGGTCTTGCTGGCTCTGGCCTCGCGGGGTCATTGTGATGTCTAATGGGGCAGATGACCGGGAGACACCAGTGTCTGACCAACTGCTCCACACTGAGTGATTACTGTGTGTGGGTGATTACTGGCCTTGCGGACGTTGTCTTTTGAGCAACTCCTCTGTTCCTCAGCCACGATGGGCGTGTTCTAGGCCTGATCACTTATGCATTTTCCACGTGATCCACGGGCAAGTTTATTCACTTACCACTGAGCGTTTATCAGCCAGGCGCTGTTGCGGTCCCTGGGATGCAGTGCGAAACAAAACGGAGAGAGATTCCTGCCCTCATGGAGCAATAAACAATCACATGAATAAGATGTTCAGAGCTGAGATGGTGATAAGGGCAGAAGTGGGGAGTGGGAGTGGGCGAGGTGGACGTTTCACATGAGGTCAGGGCAGGCGTGTCTGAGAAGGTGTCAGGTCAGCCAAGGCTGGAAGACGGTGCGGGAGCCCAGGGCACTGAGGGCAAGCGTTCCAGTCAGAGGGCACACCCAGGGCAAAGGCCGGGGCAGGACCCTGTCCTGCATGTCAGAGGAACATCACGGAGGCCAGTGTGGCTGGGGCGGAGGGGAGGGGGAGGGGAGGGGAGGGGAGGGGAGGGGAGGGGAAGGGGAGGAGGGAGAGGAGGGGAGAGGAGGGGAAGGGGAGGGGAGGGGAGGGGAGGGGGAGGGGAGGGGAGGGGAGGGGAGGGGGGAGGGGAGGGGAGGGGGGAGGACATGAGACCAGGCTGGCAAAGGAGGCACAGATCACTTAGAGAGCACCCGGCTAATCCCCCCGAAAAACCTCTGAGGTCGGTACAATGACTACACCCCCGTGTTCAGACGGGGAGATGGAAGCCCCCTCAGTCAGGAGTAGGGCTCTAAGCTGCCAGCCGTCCTGACCCCCTTCTCACTGCTGCGCAGTGCTCCTTAGAGGGGTGCTATTTGCTGCTCCTCAAGGAGAGGGTGCTGCTGTCTCCACCTCCTTCAGACATGTGTCCCTTTCCTCCCTGGGGGCTGCAGCTCACCATGTCCTCCTCTGCAGGCCCGTCGTCTGGGAAGCTGACAACAAAGCCCTCAGCTGGAAGGACCAGCTCTCCGGCCAGGAGGTGAGCACGGTCCTGGACCCCTCCAGCGGCGGCGCGCAGCTGCTGGTCTTCCGGCCAGCGGTTTACAGGTGCTTCGTGCAGCAGCAGATGAGGGCGCAGTTCAACCCCAGGTTCGACGTGGATGCGCTGGAGCTTCTGCAGAGAGAGGAAGCCATCCGGCAGCAGGAGGCGGAAAAGGTTCGGAAACCGAAGACCGGCTCCCCCAAGGGGCTGAAGCTGCTGCTGCTGTGGGGCACCGGCCTGGGCCTGCTCGGGATGCTGCTCAGGCTCTTCTGCCCGAAACGGCGTAAAAAGAGAAGCCAGGTGTTGCTGATGAAATAAAGCGAGCCCACGGTGCTCCGGCCCGGCCTCCTGCGCCTTCATGGCCTTCATCGCCTCCACCGCCCTGCGCCCGCCCCACACCACACTCCGAGGCGGGGCCAGATGCCCACGGGCGGCCGAGGGGGCCGAGCTCCTCCCAGCTCCAGGTTCTGCTCTGCACTCACTAGCCACCTCCATCCCACAGCCCAGAGAACTGTGTCGTCATTGGAAATGAGCTCCGTGCACACCCGGGTTGCCAGCTCAAGCCCTGTGTTCCTCACAAGGAGGCGAGGAAGGGGAAAATGAGGCCATTTGGGGGATGGGCGTCTAGGGTCAGTAAACTGGAGCCCCGTCACTCACTGCACTCCTGTAAGGACAAAGGTCTAAGACAGGGATGGGAGTGGGTAACCCTCAGGTCTCCCCCGATCTGCACTGGTCCACTGCCTTTCCTTGCCCATCCCTTGCCCCAGCCTGCCCCAACTGTGCCTACGGCCCTTGGGCTTAGCTCTGTCTCCCCAAGTCCGAAGATGCTGCCGGAGTGGTGGCCTGGGACAGGGAGACACACATCACTCTTCCTATCTTGCAGTGGAAAGAGCCCCCTCAGACCCCGAGAGGGGGAGACAGATCCCTCCACCAGGACAAAGAACCAAGCCATGGTCTAGGCAACCCATGGAAATCACCAGAACTGACTATCTCAGAAATTATATACACTGTTCAGCAGGGTGAGAGTGAGAAATAAAAATATGAATGTTTGTAAAGTGCATTGCCCTAACAGTTCATTGTGAAGCAGCTACAGAACAGATCTGAAGCTTCTAGAACAGAACTTCTGTCACTGAGGAGAGGACAGAGCTCACCGCTCACATACCAGAGACCCAAAGAAGCTTGTGGAATAGGGGAATATTCATGGAGACTTAGAGTGGGTCCGTTGGGAAGCAGAGTCAGAGAAGAACAGTGATCATAATTGCAAATATTTGCGGATCTCCTGACGTGCTCAGAACTCACTCCCTTCACAAACATTATGTCCTTATGGCTACCCATGAGGCTGGGGCTTCTATGAACCTGGTTTGTAGCTGAGAACATCTAGACACAGAGGGCTCAGGCAACCTGCCTGAGGTCACACAGTGAACTTGGGAAGGGGCCAGAGATGGGAGAGTGAAATATGACATCTGAGCGCTCATCCCTAACTGCTCCCAGGAAACCCCTGGTGTCCTGCACCCACAGCGGCCTCTCGCACGTAGGGGCTGGAGGTGGGGCAGCCAGAGCCAAGCCAGGCCCATGACTGAAGTTCACATAATCCACACCCCATGCTGTTGGTGCCTCTCTGTGGCACACAAACCCCAAGTGGCACTAATGATTCCACCTCCCAGAGTCCCCGCCTTTGTGATTCCCTCCTCTTCGGTGTGAACATCTGTGACTCACTTCTAACCAACAGAATAGGGTGACAGTATTGGGATGTCACTCCCTTGATTGGGTTACACTGTATAAGCCTCTGTTTTAGCCAACTAGAGTGAGGGAGCTGACTGGCCTGAGGGAGTGAGCACCATGTCAAGGAAGCCCACTTGGCAGGGAGCTATGGGTGCCCTCCAGGACCTGAGGGTGACAGTCAGCAAAAATTCAGGGTCTGTGCAGACACCCTGAATGAGATCAGAAGCAGATTCTTTTCCAGTCAGCTTGCCTAACACCTTGACCACAGCCTTGGGAGACCCTGGGCAGAAGACTATTGACACAAAGAAACAGGGGAATCAGGAATGTGTGTTGTTTTAAGCTCCTAAATGGGTGGCCATTTTTATGCAGCAATAGGCAACTAATATACCCACTCATACCCCACAGCCCACCCTAGAGATCCCTGCAGCTTCCTGTAGGCACAATGGCTTCCTAACTACCTTCAGGAGCCTGCTGGCCCAGGCATTTGGTGGCGCGCTGGCAGCCAGGCAGTTGGTGCCCACAGAAATGGAAGTGGAGGATGGACATCCAGCTTTCCCAGCCCTGAATGGTACAACTCTGAGGCACATTCTCTCAGAGGACCCCCAACAGCACTGAGCATTGAGTGGATACAGCTGCAACCAGCTCCTTAAAGCACCAGGATCAGTTTACTCGCCCCCCCCCCCCCCCCCGCACTCTCCCTCACTTCTTTAAATATTTTTAGCCCCATATTCCCTTTCTGTCTCCTGGGACTCTGAGGACATAAATGTTAGATCTGTTGTTGTCTCAGGGGTCCCTGAGACTTCATTCATTTTCCTCCAAACTCCTCTGTTGTTCAGGTTAGAGAATGTCTATTGATCTGTGTTCAAGTTCGCTGACTCCTTCCTCTGTCATCTTCACTCTGCTATTCAGTCCATCCAGTGAACCCTTAGCTTTGGTTATTGTATTGTTTAGTTCTGAAATTTAAATTTCCACCTGGTTGTTGTTTTTATTTATTTATATATATATATTTTTTTATCCTCACCTGAGGACACTTTTTCCATATTTTGTTCAGATAGAGTGGGAGGGAGAGAGAGAGAGAGAAACATCAACGTGAAAGGGACACATCGAGTGGCTGCCACCCACACAACCCAACCAGGGCTGGGGACAAACAGTAACTGAGGTACATGCCCTAGCGGGAACTGAACCCGGGTCTCTCTGGAACGCAGGCCAACGCTCTAACCACTGAGCCAAACAGGGCAGCGCTCTAGTTGTTCTTTATACCTTCTTTCTCCTTGTTGACACTTTCTATTTTAATAATTGCTTTTAGGGGAACTCTGAGACAACAGGGTTGCTAACTCAATGGCCTCCATGAGGCAAGTAGAAAACTAAAATAAGGGGAAAGACCTTGGGGAGCTGTTACAATGCAGCAGTTCTTACATTGAGTTGAGGGGGAGGGACTATGGAGCTATGCCATATTTCTTGTAGATTAGTGCCAGGCATGCCTGGTTCCTTGGAAAGTCTCAAACGATTCTGGAAATTCAGACATTTGAAACTGTCCAATTTATGAATGTTGGCTCAAAAAAGTTTTCAAACACAACAGCCAGCCAAATAAAACATATCTGAAGGCTGAGTTCAGTCCACAGTGGAGCTGCTGCTTCAACCTTTACTGGGGTCAAGTGCACATTTCCATTTCCATCATTCAGTCAACACATATTTATTGGGCTAGAGTAGCCAGGGACAGACAGCTTCTCTGTACAGACAATGATATTTCAGATGAGTCCAAATAACAAGAAGAGGTGGACAAATAGGATTATGAAGGAAGGGTATATTAGTTTCCTGTGGCTATTGTAACAAATTTCCACAAACTTAAAACAATGCAAATTCATAAGTGTACCGTTCTGGAGAGCAGAAGTCCACAATGAGTCTTATTTGGGTCATAAATGGGTTTAAAGTCAAGGTATTGGCAGGACTGGACTCCTCTGGAGACTCGAGGGAAGAACCCATCTGCTTGCCTCCTTCATCTCTTCCTTCTCTTCAAAGTGAGCAGCAGAGCACTTTCTCATCTATGCCTCTGACTCTCTAACCTATGCTCCCTGGGTCACGTCTCCTCTGACTCTGACTTTCCTGCTTCCCTCTTATAAAAACCCAGGTGATTACACTGGGCCAACTCAATAATCCAAGATCATCTCCCATCTCAAGATCCTTACCTTAATCACACTGCAAAGTCCCTTTCTGCCCGGGATTAGGAGCAGAGCTCTGTAGGGGGTCATTATTCAGTCTACCACAGGTGGTCCAGGAAGAGGCAGCATTTGCAAGGGCCCTGGGATGGGTGTCTCCTGGACTGGTGTTTTTTGGAAGGAGCTGACTGGGGCGGGGAAGACATCAGGGAGGTAGCCAGGGGCCAGATTGTGTAAGGCCCTAGGGGAGGCCTTTGGACTTTATTTGTAGTGAGATGGGAGCCATGGGAGGCTTTTGAGCGGTGAAGAGATGTGATACGATGTCCATTTAGACAAGTGAGTCTGACAAGGTAGAGTTCCTTACAGGTAACATGGGGAAGCTCCAAGGTTGGAACGGGGAGTAGCGGCCACTCTCCATGTGGCCAGTTGGACAATCAGAAGCTTTCATCATCTAGCAGAGGGTAAGGCCAGCCCTCCGAGTGTAGTGTAACACAACACGCCCCATATTTCATTTTTAACCATTCTATTCTCCCTTTTCCTTCCCATATTGTAATTTTTTTTGAAGACATGTTTTAGAGCAGTTTTAGGATCACAGCAAAACTAAGAGAAGGTACAGAGATGTCCCATATAACCCTGACCCAGCATATAACCTCCCCCGATATCAACATCCCCACCAGGTACATTTGGGATAGTTGACGAATCTATACTGAAATCATCCAAAGTCCAGAGTGTACATGGGGTTCACTCTTGGTGGTGTAGCTGCAGTGCCCTAAAAATCCTCGGTGCTCTGCCAGCCACCTCTCTCTCCAGCTACCCCCAAACAACCACTGATCTTTTTACTGTCTCTATAGTTTGCCTTTTTCAGAATGTGCAGAGTAACAACAGGAGTACGTTCTGAGATACATGACATTGGGTGATTTGGTCATTGTGTGAACATCATAGAGTAGTGTACTTACACAAACCTAGATGGTTGGCCTGTTATATACACCCCTAGGCTACATGGTGGGGCCTATTGCTCCCAAGCTACAAGCCTGTACAGCATGTTACTGTACAAAACAACACAAGATTAAATGAGCACTAGAGAAAATGATGCAATTGAGAGACTATTAACATGAGCTGCATGAGGCTGCTGCTGACCTAACATACTGTTTTATAGCAATTTTTTAAAATCCTCACCGGAGGATATGTTTAGAGCAAGGAAGAGAGAGAGAGAAAGAATAACATTGATCTGAGAGAGAAACATCGATCAGCTGCCTCCCATACGCGGCCCAACCGGGGATCAAACCTGCAACCTAGGTGTGTGTCCTGACAGGGAATTAAACCAGCAACATTTTGGTGCACGGGATGACACTTCAACCATCTGAGCAACCCAGGCAGGGCTTACAGCAATTTTTTTATAAGTATAAAAAGTAGCCCAGCCGATGTGGCTCAGCAGTTGAG